TTGGTCGGGGTTAAAGGAAAATTCTTTATTTCCCCCTCTTCCTAAAAAGTTTTTTTTTTTTTTTTTTTGGAAAGAAAAAGGTTGGGTTTCATTTCCAAAAATTACTTTTGGCAAAATGCTACTCAGGTCATTATTTTTTAGGAAGGTGAGGATATTGAATATTCTACCTGATGCATTATATATTGATATTGATCACCTGTCTATCACAATATATACTGTCGTTGATTTATCGTGAAGGCTAGCTAAAACCATGCGGAGGCAGGTGATGGACAGCTCACGTTTCAGCCAGGCTGTCTGGAAGCGGGTAGACTGCCCTTTTCCAGCTCTCAGCAGGGAAGAAGACTGACGGCTGGGAGACCTGACCGCCACAGCGAGGGTCAGCAGGCAGGCACTGAGGGACCAGGTACTTCCACGTGACCCCAAAATCTACCGAATACTGAACGTGGATCTGTCGATCTGCTGGGCGGTCTGGAACATTGCAGCCAACAGCAATCTAAGAGAGACAATGACAAGGTTAACTCACTAGATGAGATCATTCAGACCAAAAAAATGCAAAGCGAATGTTTTTACTCTAAATATGTCTATTCAGATTATAACAAGTAATAAGATTAGATATCATGCAGATGATGCACAGCTCTATATTACGATGTCATTCAAAGCAGATGCTCAGAGCAGATAAATGTGTGGATGTGCCAAAACTTTCTCCAGAAAACTGAAGTTATTATTCTGGACCTAAAGAGGAGCGATGTGGAGTCAACGCACAGCTTCAGTTATTATGAATGAAAACCAGCGATCAGGCCCGAAGTCTGGGTCTAATGATGAACTCTGACCTGAACCTCCCGAGTCACATAAAGACAGTTACAAAGTCGGCTTTCTATCACCTGAAGAACATCTCCAGGATTAGAGGACTTTTTATTTTGCCACTGTAATGTAAAGCACTTTGAACTGCCTTGTTACTAATAAACTTGACGTTATTGTTACCTTAAACTGCATGACCCAGCCTTTGTCTGGAACAATATCATGTGTGACAGCATACACTTCTCTCCCATCTGCATTTCCACACACCATCACACCATCAGGGGAGTTGCAGAAGCGCTGCACAGAGCAATCCTCAGAGAAAAGCCAGTGGTCACTCACTGAAAACAAAACCAAACAAATATTAGAAACCTAGAGAAACACTTGTGTTTCCCAGTGACGGGCGGCGGTTGTTGAATCACCTATCGGCGTTTCTTCCTGTTCATTCAGCTGACTGACTCGTCCAGAAGTCTCATCTGCAGGCGCTCTCTCATGGTTGGGCAGAGCCACGCCTCCGAACGTGTCAGAGATCTGGGCCCGCGGGTCTGACCCGGCGATGAGGACGTTGTCCAGAGCCCAGTCGCTCCGGTCTGCGCCTTCATGCTGCGGCTGCCACCACCGCACCCGCACTCCTTCCTGACGTGCAGCAGGGGGCAGCAGCACATTTACGAACCTGAGAAGACGAAACACAGAGACTGCAGCTGCGTTTCCATTACAAATGTGAGCAAAACTCTGTTGATAATCCGCTAATGTTTAAGTAAACACAAATTTAGAATCGCTGTGTTCCATTAAAATAAGTTTGTTCACGCATTAAAAACAAGGCGCGCCATCATCCTCCTACTACTTCCCATTGTCATCTTTGTGCAGTACCTTGTGGACCACCAGGGGGCGCCAGTGGAGGAATAAAACTCACCCAGGTTTGGTGTAGAGGTCGTAGAAGATCTCTGTGAGTAAATGCCAGTTAATCCCCCCATTCAAGCTGTACTCCAGAAGGACTCCCTGGTTCCGGTTGCTGGGAGGAATCATGCAGCCGTACATGAAGTAGAACTGGATGAACTCGGCATTCGTCAGATTCAGATCCACCGTCACCAGCTGACGAGTGCATGACTGCGCACAGACAAATGGAGAGATGCAGCCTGAGAAAAGCCAATTCTTTACTTTCTAAAGTATTTTTGAAGTCACAAAGGGTTTGAATTATGTAAAGAGGTGTAATTAATGTTTTTCTAACATTGCAATGTAGTTCTCTAAACCCATTTAACTTCATTAGGCTCCAACTAAAGAGCAAAGCAGATACTGAATAAAACATTTAGGATAACTGTTAAAACTGCCCTTTATTATTGCTTTTATAATGAAAAACATGGCTTAAGAGAATCTTACCAGGTATTTATGGTCTAGTTTCTGGAGCAAAATATTTAACAAGACAAAACTAACTTTCAAGTAACTTTTCAGCAACATATAGGAGCTTGAGTTACATCAATAATTCATTAATAATGAGAAAAAGTTCTAATTACCCTGGCAGATTTCATTGATTCATAATATTAGAAATATACCTTATTATAAGTGAAAAAATTCCAGTCGAAATAGTAACTTTTTTCATCAGTAATTAAAACAAGCTCGTACATCTTGCTGAAAAGTTACTAGTTTTGTCTTATTTTAAGTGTATTAAGATATTTAAATTACATAAAACGGTAAGATTTTATGTGTTTGCAGTGTAAAATGTTATGGAAAAACCTTTGCCACACATAAAGACAGACATTGTATTACTTATGCTCAAATATAAATCTTTCAGACATTATTGTTAACTATCTGACTTTCCTCCAATGAAAAACATATTAAATCTTTTGCAGGTTTTGCAGAAATTTCAATCTTTGCCAGGAGAATTTTAACTCCTGCATTAACATATTTCACACAGACCTTTCTGTGTGAAATCCTTGTTTTGATGTACAGCAAAAAGAAAATCATAACTACCCCGCTGAAGTGCAGCGCAGCTCCAGAAGCCACAGCTCCACACACGGAGCTGAGCTTCCCACCCGTGAGAACGTGCCAGTGGCTGAGCGACGGCGCTCGACTGAAGCTGTCCTTCAGCTGGGCCGGCAGCGGCAGCACCGGCTCGTCACAGTACTCTCCTCCCCACTCCGGGTCACACCTGGCATGGAAAGTGAATTTAGAAACAAGAAGAGCCATACAATGTTAGTATTGAATAACATAATAGGGATTAAATTTTTATTTAGTTTCGGTTTTTTGGGGTCAGAAAATAAGATTAAGATTAAAACCTCTTAACTAATCAGGCCCAAACATTTTTTGCTCTACTTTAATGGTGACCTTTTATGCTTCCTTGAACAGGTTAGTATAAGTCTATAGGCTATATAAAACATGTCCATTACATTTTATTCAAATAATTCTTACATCATATTTTAGTTCTGCTTATTTTGAGCTGTTTTTAGGGCCTCCTGTCACTTTAAATCCAAATAAGCTGCAGCTGTCCAACTCAACGTTTACATGTGAAAATGGCTGCAAACTGATGCACAATTATTCAACCATACATCTTCGAAAAGCAGAAGTGGAGCCTCCTGCACAACCAACAAGAATGCAGCAAGTGGTTTCCAAATGGTAAGCCAACAACAAAACACTTGTCTTTTCCAGTAGACATTTGTTTTGAAACAGCTCATTTTCCAGACACCAAAAAATATTAACTTTCTGCCAAAAATTTACTTGGTGTTTCTTCTTAAATGCTTGAGACACAAATGGAACCATAAAATGTCCAAAATATTAAATTTGCACCAATATTCCCTTTAGTATGTAAAACTGTGTATATTTTTGCTTATTGACTGTACTGTAAAAAGTAAGATTTTGACTTTAATGCCTTAAAACCAGTATTTCTTTTCTAGTGATGTGCATGTTTTGTGACTTACACACAGGAGCTCTGTTGGCAGCGACCATGTCCAGAGCACATATCAGGACAGCCGTCACCAATGTAGAGGTTATCCAGAGCCCAGGTCTGCTGCTTGTCAAAGGGAGCCTGCTGGAACCAGCGGAACCTCGTGGCCGGAGATCTGGAACAAAAAGAAAGATAAACTTTACAAGATTGGATAAATTATATGCCGATTTATTTATCCACCCCTAATTTTTAGGGTAAATGCCTGAATGCAATAGAACAGAAAGAGCAAGACAATCCTGATGTTTTCTGTACTAGTATATAATAATCATCTTAGGTTGGCAAAGCGTAGATCTGTGCTGACCTTGCGTATGATGGGATAGACAAGGTGACGCGGCCCCACTTGTTGTAGGTGTCTGACACGAGGATCCGCTGCAGAGTGTAAGACGAGCAGTCGGGACTCGTAGGCAGACAGTCTCTGACCAGCGGCTGCCAAGTCAGACCCAGATCCAGAGAATACTCCAACTCCACAGCTGCAACGAGAGGAACAGACACTTAAAAACTCCTCCATTCATCCATTTACAGATCACCTTTAAAACAGCAGGGTTGGGTCGTAACTGCAGTTACATACCAGTAACTTTTTTCTGAAAAAATTTACTTTTAGGAGTATTTTTACCACGCTTTCTACTTTTACTTGAATAATTTTATTATGAAGTATCTCTACTCTTACTTGAGTAAAATTTCTGGATTTTCTACCCACTGAACCAAAAATTCACTAGGCACAGACACACACCAGCAGTTTTTGTTAAAGTTTCATAAATTTTTCAGTGAAAAAAACTGACTTGGAAAATATTTTACCTGATTTAGTTTTTTTTATGAATTAGTGTCATTTTGTCCCTTAAAATACCAAAATTTCCACTTCACTTTATATTTTGATCCATCTGATTATGCACTTTTTAATATTAAATGACAGAAATAATTCCAATTATAATAATAAGACAGACATCATTTAATCAGTACTTGAGGCAACTTTTTACCAAATACTTTACTGCTACTCTAGTAATTTCTTGGATGCTACTTTTTACTTTTACTTGAGTAAAAATATGTGCTACACTTCCGAGAGCATCATTTCTGCCCACCTTCGTTAAATAGGTGACTATGAAAATATTTACCAACTTCTATCCTGTTATTTTCAGTTATCTAATGTTCCATTTAAAATAAAACAAGCACATTTTAAGTTTTTTACGAATGCAAATAATAATAATGTTTGCTTATGAGTTCCTTTTGCTTACAGTAGCAAGAATTGGTGACAGAGCAGGATGCAGAAAAGTCGAACTGGATGAACGCGTCTTGGCCCAAGCTGATGTCAGTAGTGACGGCGTATCGTGTGTTGGATTTCTCGATGAAAGCGAAAGCCGGTCCGTCAGAACCACACACAGGCATTCGGGTTCCGCCCGGGTGGAGGAGCCACGACCGTCCGTCGATGGAGGAGAAATCGTCTTCCAGTGGCCCCCAGCCGCTAGCACTGCCACCCACCACAACCTAAAGCATAAAAGAGAAAACATTACTGATGGCAGAGAGAGGAGAGTCGAAGAGGAGTCGAACTCATTTTCAGCTGTGGCAGAATGCACTGAAAAAACTACTTATCAAACTTACAGTACATGTTTCACCCAGTGTATTATAAGCCTGGCGGACTGCCAGGCTTTATTCCCCCCACTAGGCTCAGTGTTGTTTCTTTATTTTAAGTAATTTTATTAATACACCAGTAACAGTGATAGCAAAGACAGGTTAAGCTATACGTAATAAAACGTATGTAATCTTCAGCAAACTGTTATCCATTTAAAAAAATAACAGCATTCGAATATAAATGCACAACCTACAGAAAGACTAGTTTTATTTAATCCACTGCTGTATTTTCTTTGTTGTTGATGTTTTACTTCTGAAATTTAATGTCAACTCTTAACATTTTTTAAACAAAAAAAATAAAAAATAAAACCTCAGTGGTGCAACTGGTTTAGCTATATTTCTGGAGGAAATCCTAAAATATTATAGCTTTTTCTGAAATCGATGAATACTTCCTAAAATTAAAATATTTACGTCTTTTCAAATTGTAGTAATTTGCCACTACACAGATAAAAACTGATTTAATTTGACTGATAAAATAATATGTTAGCACAAAACTGTTAGTTTGAATTGTATTTATATGGCCCTCTAGATTCTTGAGGGCCACATAAATAGCTTTAGCGGGCCGGATATGGCCCGAGGGCCTCGAGTTTGACATGCAATGTCAAACAATTGACATAGAATGTCAATATATGGTGAAAATAATTATAGAATTCAGTTTACATATATAAAACAAATTCACAACAAATATCTCAAGGCACTTTTAAAAAAAAAGTGCCTTGTGAAAAGTGAAATGTGTGTGACTTGAAATCACACACATTTCAAGTGATCCTAGTTATCAAACACTACAGAATGTTCAGTTAATTAGTTTAAAAGGTTTCTATCTAAGGAAACCCAAGAGGCTGCATTGAGTCTCTAACTTGCAGCATTAACTCCTCCTGGATGAACACGTAGCAGCAGTTGCTCGACTTTACTTTAAGGCAATCACTCATACTGAGCATGCATGTACAGACAGTAGAGAGGAAAAACTCCCCTTTAACAGGAAGAGACCTTCAGTAGAACCAGAACCTGGTTCAATACTACCGGGCATCTGGCACTACCGACTGGGGGTTTGATTATTATGATTAATTATGTTCACGTTATGGATAAATTGACTTCATGTACCTGATCTATGACCCAGGGGCTGTAAAAGTGACCATTTTCTGACGGCTGCCACCAGCGCAGACGAGTGGCAGGTGTTCTGGCACGCAGTGGGATCTCCAGAGCCACCAGCCGAGCCTGGTTACTGGTATTACTGAAGAGAAACTCCTGGAGGAGTCCCCAGGTTAGGCCTCCGTCCACAGAGAACTGCAGCAGGACAGGCTGAGAACGAGGATCCGGCGCCGCTTTGCCACAACCAAGGCGAAGGAAGAACTGAACAAACCTGAGGAAGAATGAAAAGTTTTCAATCAGAACTGAAAATTCAAAATGTTTCAAACATTTTCAAAGTAATGTAACTGTTTCTAGTGTTGGCTTAAAGCAGGTGTACCTTGCATTTGACAGATCCATATCATTGGTGACCAACATGCGTAGACCGTCCTCGCTGAAGAACAGGTGGTTTCCACTGGACATGATGCCACATTTCCTGGATGGCTTTCCTCCACTCAGCAGAGTGAAATGCTCAGCATCCACAGCTCCTCCTGGATAAGGAAGCAGAAGCCAGACATACTTATCACAAGTTACTACATATATGGAGTTGTTCTGCAAACAACTACATATTCCTACCTCGTCAAATAGGGATGCAAGCAATTAATCAAGCAATTGTTGATTAACGGTTAAAATTACTTCAAAACATTAACCAATTAGACTTTCTATTAGTGTTGCAGTTTTTGTCGCCATCCAGCAGAGGGTGCCGTTGGCCATCCTTAAGTGGAGCCAGTTGATACAGAAACAAAGATGGCGGAGGGATACCAGAATGAAGAGAAACAGTTCTAGCACAGTCCGGTTTGAACAAAATGCACTTTATGCAGTTCTGTTTTAAATATAAAAACTCAACAATCTGCTTAAGTTTCACTTTAGTGGATCAATTTCTCATTCAAAAATTACTGATGTGACAAAAAACGGAGAAAAATTTTAACATAATGTAAAAAACACATAGTGCCAATGATTTTGATATTTGTCCTGACTTCATGGAGCGAAGTTTTAATTTTCCTTCAAGAGCAACAACAGAGAGTATGTCTGTATGAACATCTCTCCTTTTGTGGGGAATTAAGTGTTTCCCATATTTTATTATTTTCATCTTCTATTTTCCTATTCAACAACCTAAAAGGTTCCTGTGTTGTTACATTTTATAAATATCTCTAAGTTTAATTATGTCAGAAAACCACAATTTTCAAACCCATCTGTTTTGTTTGGAACATTATAAATGAAACACTAATCAGCATTTTGATGTATAACGATGGCACTGGACAAAATGTAAGGTTTCACTTGTTGACTGAAGCACTTTGAACTGCCTCGTTGCTGAAATATGCCTTACAAATAAACTTGATAGACTTGAAACCTCTTGATACAAGAGAAAACTCAGGTTTTTATGAAAATGGCAGCTCATTAATCAATCAAACCATCAACCAACTTTAAATTAACCCATTGCTTCATAACTTGCATCTCCATTTTTAATACGCAGCAACAAGTAACTTGATTCTTTTGTACCTTCAAAGTCCTCCTTGAGGAAGTCCGGATTGGGGGTTTCTGGAGCAGAGCAGTCGGGTCCAGAGAAACCGGGGTCACACACACAGTGGGTGCCGCTCACACACACCCCGTGACCGTTGCACATGTCCTGACACTGCGGGCCGATGTAAACGTTATCCAGCGCCCACGTTGGAGGAGCAGAACCAGCTGAGAAGAAACCTTGGAACCAGCGGAACCTTATTGACCTGGATTCCAGAGAAAGAAATTTACAACTTACAAAATCGTGATTTTAAAGACTGAGTGAGTGTTTTGGTATTTTTGGCCTTACCCACACAGGCGAAGCTTGCCAACGTGGATCAGCTCTCTCCTCCAGCCGTGTGTGGTACCGGGGAAATAGATGCTGGCAGGGTGAAGCTCTGTGGAGCAAAGCGAGGAGGGCTGAGGGCCACCGGCACACAGCGGCACCAAAAGGTGCCACGTGGCTCCAAAGTCCCGTGAGAACTCGAGCCGAACCGGGTTTGCAGAGGAGCTCTCAGTCGTGCAGCCAACATTGATCTAAAGAAAAGCAGAAATACACAAGAAAAATGTGACTGAGATCGGCTAGAGCAGTGTTTTTATGAGAGGCCACCAGGTGGCGCTGTGGAGGCCTCAGAAAGTTGGAGGGAAGGAAAGAAAAAAAAGAAAATCCAATAAATTTTTAATCTCAAATTTTTCATCATAATTTTTTGATTTCCTGTTATTCAATCATTTTTAAAATTACAATACAAGTTAAAATAAATGTTTGATTGGCTGTTAGCCAAATTCATCGAGTTGTAATAAAATAAAGATTTTCTAACAAAAAGACCAAAGGAACCTTGTGTTGCTGTAGAAAACCATAAAAACCATGTAAATAAAATTAAATTGGATGAGAATAATATAAAATATTACATATTTTCTTATAATCAAGACGGGATTGTGATGAAAATTTGTATCATCTGGTAATTAAGTCATAATAATTTATCTAATACAATTAACCAAACTCATGAGCATTTAAAATCAGATGAGTTGAGGCAGCATTTATGCTAAATTAATGTCATAGTTTTGGAATAGTGAATAAAAAGTTTTCTATAAGTTTGTTTCTTTACTTATTTTTAGCGTTGACTGTAGCAATAGCATAGAAAATTTGGGAAAACCTGTTAAAGAACTATTATCGCCTCGCCAGTGCAGTTCTGGGAGATTCTGTGCATTTGTTATTGATGTGATTTCATAACATTTAAAATAAATATCAATCCATATTTCAGATAAGCCTATAAACAATGCAAATACAATAAAAAAAATGGTTAAAATCTTATTTTTTTATTATGTATTACTCTGCATATTTTTTATTTAAGGAAATTGCAATCCATACATCATTGGTTTGGTAGTAAGGCTTTTCTGGGATTGGTCAGTAATGCATATCCACCACTAGGTGGCTCTCCTGTCATTCCCTCACTCTTGTGATCGGGAAATGCTGATCAAAACATTCTATATTTGTAGCCTCTATATTGCTAAGACACTTTATAACCAATCCTTAATTTTTGTGGTAAAGTTTAGAAGCATTTTATAGTTTTATGAGCTCCGCTGTTGCCGTTAAACTGACAGAAGATAGAAAACCTGTTTATTGTCATTTTTGTGAGAAAACGTGTTGAAATGCAAATATTTAACCATATCGTCTAATTTTGGCTTATTAAAAAGCTCCTATAGGAATTTATTATTTTGTATTCTTGTGATTCTTTCTGTCCTATTTCTCTCCAGACATCGAAGAAACAATCGTTTCATTCGATGTCTGTGTACCTCAAACTGGATGATGGTGTTCTCATTGACGTCGATGTCCCTGGTGGTGATGGAGTGTTCTCCAAGCTCACTGGAGATGAACACCATGGCCGACTCGTCGTCTTCCCTGCATCAACACAAAACACTAGGATTAATCAGAGGTAAAAAATAAAAAAACAAACATAATGTTTTCACAGGTTTTATCACTGATTAGTCTGTGTGACAGAAACGCATTAAAATAATCAAAACACGTTTTTTCCTGTGTTATAAGCAGAGCTGGGCAGAGTACACAATTACATTCAAGTAAAAGTAGCATTACTTCAACTTATTTTTACTCAAGAACATGTAATAAACAGTCATCCAAGAAATGACTCAAATAAAAGTAAAGTATTTAGTAAAACATCTGCTGAAGTACTGAGTAACTGATCAAATTATCAATCATTTGGTATTTTAAAATTACATCATCAGACAGACAAAAATATAACAGTTAAGTGGAAATGTTGGCATTTTAAAGACAATAATGACAATAACTCATTTAAGGAACAAAAAATAACAAAATCAGGCAAAAGAAAATTTTCCCAAATCAGTTTCTTCCAATAAAAAACTTATAAAACTTAAAACCTGCAGGTGTGTGTCTATGCCTGGTGAATTTTTGGTTAAAACATGTTTGTTTTTCACTCAGTGGGGAGAAAATCCAGAAATTTTACTCAAGTAAGAGTAGAGATACTTTATAATAAAATTACTCAAGTAAAAGTAAATAGTGCAGAGTAGTAAAAATTACTGCTAAAATGTCATTTATTCAAAAAAGTTACTCAAGTAAATGTAACTAGCTACTATCCCACTTTGGTTATAAATGAAATAATCTGCAAGCAACTAGAACCATTTCGTCAATAATAAGGAATTATTGACTTAAAACAAGCTACAATATCTCACTGAAAGTTACTCGTAAGTTAGTTTTGTCATATTTCAAGTGTGCTAGTATATTTGTTGTAGAAATTAGACCAAAATATTTGGTAAGACTTTGTGTTTTTGCAGGTTAAGACTCACAGGCCAGCCTTCTGGTAGGGGCAGTATAGTCCTGTGTTTCCACCAGGGTAGAAAAGCCAGTTCTCCTCGTTAGGTCCTTCCTCAAAAGTGTCGATTACCATCGGTGGTTTGTGTAGAGAGCTGCCATCGATGATGAGATCATCAATCACCCACACCTCTTCCTTCTTACCTGATGGACAAAAAATAAAACAATTACATACTAATCAGTGGTGGTTCTTATGAATGTTCCTTGGGAGAGATCCTCCTTTCTGTGCCTGAGAAAAAGAAAAAAAAAAAAAAAACTTTTTTGGGGGTCAAACTCAAGGCCCGAGGGCCAAATCTGGCCCACCACAGCTATTTATGTGTCCAGAATGCTACATGAATAAAACTTCAAAATAGGCCTGTCATGATAACAAATTTTGCTGAGCAATTGTCTAAATAATTATTGCGATGAACGATAATATTGTTTCAAGACCTTTTGACACTGATTTAATGGAAATGACTAATAATGCATGCGATTTCCTGCCATGGATAGATGCACTTTATTTTCAAAAGAACACATAACACTGGAACTGATAAACTAAATAAACAAAACAACCAAAAACAAAAAGGATTCTCAGTCTCCATTAACAAAAAACGTACTTGAATAAAAACTAAACAACATAAAGCCAAAGTGGAAATAAATACTACATCCAACCAAAAGAGTGCAGATTATGAAGTCTGTATACTATATTGCCCTTCAGTAATCACTAGATTTAAATGGAGAAGACGGGCACATCCGACTACCTAATGCAGTAGTTCACACTACACGATTTATTGCCCCTATTTTCTCTTTATGACAATCTTAGATCGTTGGCTGATCTAAGATTGTCGCTGGTGATTTCATAACCGATCATCCTGAAGTGATTTAGATCGTCGTGGCTCCGATCTAAATCGAGGGTTTTCCCCGACTGGGAGCTTAACGCTGAATGTGACAGGTAGCCAATCAGAGAGCGGGGATTCTCCTCCTGCTTTCTGAGGGGAAATTACGGAGGGGGATCCCAAACAACTGACACAGTGCAACCCGAAGTCCAGCCGACATTGGAGATGATATGTGGAAACAACATTAATATTTATTCGACATTTCGTGCAAAGAATATAGGGACAAGGGAGGAGTTGGAGCCAAATTGCTATAAACCCGGTAAGTTTTCAGCTGTTCTTCGTTAACGTGACATAAATAGGTTATAATGATTTTCATTCAGTCAGGACTTTACGCTGACTCTAGCCACATGCATCACAGGGAGATTCTAGTAAAGCATTGATTAATGCCTGGTTTTAAAATTAGTTAACTGGATTTGTAGCCATTATTTTGTGCCCATGTGGCTGGACACCACACGGCATGACGAACCCGATCGAACCGTTATACCTAGGATTTCTGTCGGCTAATGTGTCTCTCAGGTTTTGAAAATGGGCCGAAAACTCGTGTAGTGTGCGCTGGACATTACACTAAGGAAGTAGGAAGGGAGGGTCAGTGGAGAACACCGGAGCTGAGCCTTTTTTCATTCAGTGTCATCAAGAGAAAGAAAAAAAAGGCAGGAAGAGACGATAAAGCCGATAATTAAAATGAGGTCGATAGGTTTAATTTATTGTGCGATTAATTGATTTATTGTTTATCGCGTCAGGCCTACTTCAAAACAATAGCTGTGTGCTGAAATATTATTTTATCAGTCAAATCAACGCAGCTTTTATTTGTACAGTGCCAAATTTCATCAATTCGACAAAGTTACTGAGAAAAAAATGGACTGCTGCTACATGCTGGCTTGTAAAGTTAGTGACTCTGTGCAGTCCTGGGTCTCCTTAGAAGGAAAACTTTTTACCAATTTGAATAATAAGCTGAATTGTTAGGGATGAATATGACTGGATTGGAGTTAATTGACTTTATATTTCTAGATATAAATTGGAATCACGATATAAGCCCTTCATATCTGTCAATATAGATTATTATTGATAAGTTTTTTGTTTTAAATATCAGAAATACTGCCAAACTGGTGGTGTGACCTTTCCTGTTTTATTCGCAGTTTTTATTCGACACCATCTTTTTTATTTTTAAGCAGTTATGAGGCACAGTGGCAAACCCTGAAACTGCTGCTGCGCCAGCTGCTAAACAAGTTGTTGCTAGGTAACCAAAGAGTGAGTGAGTTGCTAGGTAACCAAAGAGTGAGTGAGTTGATTCCACCAATCTTGTTTAGCTGGCTGTGAGATGTTTAGGAGCTAAAGCCTTTCTTCTGCCTACATCCCCCAGAATGCTGTGCGGTTCTGGCTCACAGTTCAGTGAATATTCTGTTATTTGAGTATTAATTATCCTATCATATTTCAGAGGAAGTGAAGGAGTACCTACTGATAAAAATCTGTGTATATTGGTATTGACACTTCCTTTTTGTAAAACACCTGGAGCTGTCATTTGTTGTGAATCAACGGCATACAAATAACAAAACTGAAGCTGAATCGGTGCTGCCGGCTCACCGCTGTTGTAAGGCTGCCACAGTCTGAACCGGGTGGCGTTGGTCTGAGCGCTGGCTGGCAGAGGCAGGTGGAGGAACAGCGTGTCTGTGGAAGACGGGAAGTAAAACTCGTCCAACAGGAGCCAGCTGATTCCTCCGTTCACAGAATACTGCAGCAGCACCGAGTGGGAGCGCTCCGGCACTCCTAGAAAAGCCCAAAGGATCAACAGTTACAGCAAAATTCAAGTAAAAAAATCAAACATGCAGGTCAGAGGAAGTGAAGGAGTACCTTTGGTAATAAATTTGAAAGAGAACTGGATGTAGAGAGTGTTTGAACAGTCCAGATCCCTCGACACAATCATTCGCAGTCCATCCTGCAAACAAACAGAAGAAAAAATGTGAATGTGATTTAAATTTCCAAGTTCTGCTCTGAATTTTTATCTGCACAAGCTCAGCACCAGTGTTGCCAGATTGGGTGAGTTTCCTGCTGGAAAGTTAAAAATTGGGCTTCTGTTCACAAAATTTGGCAGGTTTTTAGAAAATGTTCAGAGAAAAATTATTTCAAAACAGTCATTATGTGGCAGAAAAACAAAAACTTCAGAAAATGCCATGCTATTGAACTTATTAGTTCATTTATTTTGAAATTGGTTAATCAAGTGCAACTCTTTGAAGAATTTGAATTAATATGAGTTTCAACAACATTTAATTTTCCTTTGGGATCAATCAGCTTGAATTGAATTAGAATTATATCTGGTGCTATAAACAGGAGTTTCATTGGAGGTTGAGATTTTATGGAGTTGGTTTTTCATTGTGTTTGGACTGGAATCTTTCAGTCAGATCTGGCAACCCTGTCCAGCTTCCTCACCCCTTTGAAAATGAGTGCAGTTCCAGATTTAAGCGGTTCTCCGCTGAGCGTCCCCCTCTCGGCGCCGTACACTTCGGGCCAAGTCTCCTGCTGCAGATTCTCGTTGAAGTCTTCCCTCAGCACCGAGGGCAGAGGAGCCAAAGGCACGCAGTGCGCTCCTCCATAACCTTTATCACATCTGTGAGAGAATGAATGGATTAACAGAAGTCAGGAATGTAGGGATTGGACTGAATCAAGGCAGAAATCGATGAGAAACGCAGAAGGAGATGGATATACGTACACACAGCGGCCGTTGTCGCACAGACCATGTCCAGAGCACATCCAAGGGCAACCAGGGGCAAGTAGCACGTTATCCAGCGCCCATCCTTCTGCCCCTGGGGTGAAGTGGGTCTGGATCCAACGGAACCGAGTTCTGGGGGAACTGAGTGAGTCGGGAACATTTTATTTAGAAAGTCACCATTACATAAACATTATAGCACAAAACAACAAGAGTGCATTACTCGGTGTTGAGATTTAGAATATTTTGCATATATTTAAGGGTTTTAAACTTGTTTTTGGATTTCATGCTTGCTTGAGTAATAATGACATAATGTCATCTAGAAAGCAGCGTTTTCTACAGATAATGTTAGATTTGCAAAATTTTACAAAGACAAAAAAACAAGCATATGTTCTAATAGAAAATAAAGATTTAAATTTTAAATAGGGATTAATCAATTAATTTAAAGTTGATTGATCCTATCAATTGACGAGCGACTGATTGACAAGTCGCCATCTTTTTCTTGTAGTGTTTTCTCTAGTATGAAGAGGGTCGACCATCTTTCCATAAAATGAATTTTTTAATAAAATGCTTAATTTAAAATAAGAATATCACCATATTTTAACAAATTAGTGTCAGCTCTATTAAATTCTGACTGAACAACAGAAAAATTTGGTTTTCTCACATTACTAAACTTAAAGCAGGAGCAAAAAGAAAATATTTTCATGCTCTATGAACTGAGATATGTTCATGTCTTCTTTCAACGCCTCTGCTTCTCTGTCTTTAATTTACAATGGAAGTAATTTTAATCTAATAAAACATTAATCATAAGCCAACTAATGGTTTGCATTCCTAATTTTAACTACATGTGTGAGTCCACCTACTTGGCAGCACTGGGCAGGTAAACCGTGATTCTCCTCCAGTGTTTGTGTTGGGTTGATGCGTAGACAGAGCTCTGTGTATAACCAGCGCAGCCGATGGCTGGAGGCACACACTCCGGCGTGATGAGAGTCCAGTGGCGGCCGCAGTCCGTCGAGTACTCCAGCCGGACGCCGTGGGAGAAGGAGGTGGACTTACTGCAGCCCATGCTCAGCTCAAACTGGAGGAACGACGACCCCGTCACCTCAAAGTCCCAGCTCTCTGCATATCGTGGCTTCTCTGCAAAGTGGTTTTAGGTTGCAAAAGTTAAATCTTTTTACAATTTATGAAGCATTATCAACATTACACAGCAAAAACTCCAAATCTTACAAGTATTTTTGGTCTCTTTCGTAGCGTAAATATGTTAGTAAACTTGAAATAAGACAGAACTAACTTTTCCCCAGCATATAAGAGCTTGTTTGAAGTAAGTAATTCCTTAATATTGATGAAAAAGTTCTAGTTCAACTGGTAGATTCTTTCACTTCTAACAAGGGAAAAATGACTCGTCATGAGTGAAATAATCTGCCAACTGGTACTTTTTAAAATCAATATCAATGGATTATTGAGTTAAAACAACCTCCTGAAAAGTTACCTATAAGTTAAGTTTGTATTATTTCAAGTGCACTAGGAACCAGACTAAAATACTGGGTAAGATTTTGTGTTTTTGCAGTGTAGTAAAACAAATTTACTCGTCATATTCATTTCCTTTCGCTTCACAGCTATGCACTTTGACAAAATGTTTGGAGGTTTAAAAGTTATAAATACTTTTGCAAGGCACCATCTTTGTTCAGGTATTCTTGTTTAGGAAGAAACAATGACTTCTGCTTCCTTTCTATTGTGATCAACAATTACATTCTGAAGAAGTCATAACACTAAAAGTCTATCCAATAAAGTCCAGCCAATCGCTCTAAGGGAGTTTGTTTATACAATGTTTTATAGTCCTAACAAAAGTTAATCAGACTTGCACAACAATCTGAAACTAAATTATTAATTTATATGTTTTTGGTAAATTCTCCTGCCAGGGAAAGAAGAAGTGAACACTCAAACTTAAGCTAAATTTATCTCTCTTTTATTGCCATGAAGCATCCTCAAATGTTCCTCTTCGTGCTTCGTCTGTAAACACAGAGCTTCTGTGTTTACAGATGTGCTGCCAAATCGGTCATGCTGTGCACACCTAATGAATGGCCCCTTTGTGATGCGCTATTTGCACAAACCTAATCCACTCACAGCTTGATGCAGGCATAAATAACAGGCAGGATGTTCGACGAGGTCTTCTCTCATTAATAATGCAGGATGGCTGACACCACAGTAAATCCCAGGCTTTGTTTCAGCTGCTTGTTAATAGCAAAGTGCTGTGATGCTCCTTGTTTGAATGATTTTTAAGTGTCTGGGTGGATTACACGTGCTTGAGTCTATATGCAAACACTGAAGAAAGTATATATTGATATGATTCCTTAATGTAATAAATGACTGTGTGTTGCTTCCAGTTTGGACAACAAACACACTTCACAGCTGTAGTGAATGTGTTTCACTTACTATCAATGGCCTCAGAGTTAAAGGTGAGAGCAGTGTCCAGAGACAAGCAGTCCACGGTCACCTCCCCGCCCTGGATCCGGTACCAGTTGTGCCTCAGAGGGGTGGTGCCATCGAATTTATCGTGGAAACCCGTTCTGGAGCTGTCGTTCATACCGATCAGAACGTCATCCAGCGCCCATTGGGCAGAGTGCTTTCCTGCAGAGCAAATGAGTAAAACGATCTAAAGAGTTGGCTTACAGTAAAGGCGACTAATACTATTAAAAGTTTTTCCACTTGGGTCTCTACTGCTTCTAAAAATAAACACTTTAAAAAACACTCAGATGTTTTTTTGGTTATAAGTTAATGACTTTCCTGATTGTCAAGTCACATTTGGAGTGCAATGCCTCGTTACCTAGCAACCCCAGCGGAGCCCAGCACTGTTGTCTAGCAACTAAAGAGGAGTTCCAGCATGTTTGGTCAGCTGTTTTTACTGCTGTATGTTCTATACAATGGCTGCTGGAAAAGACAAGTTGTTGTTAACAACCAGAAACCACTTGCTGCATTCTTGTTGGTTGTGCAGGAGGCTCAACTAATGCTTTTCAAAGATGTACGGTTATACAATTACACATCTGTTTGCAGCCATGTTGAAGTGAGAGTGTGACACTGCGGTCCAGTTGTACTCGAAACTGGGAATTTCAGAATTGCCAGTCGGAAAAATCAACTGGAAGTCTGATTTCTCAATGGGAAACTTGCAAGGCAGACTTCCTGTTTCAATATGGCCGCTCCTCACATCAGCAGTGGTAAATTCTGGTGGAAACGTGTATTTTACAAGATGACAAACATGTAAAAATACATTTAATATCAATGTTGCATGTAGCGCCTACAACCTTAAACATTAAAAGTGTTGTTTGCTTATGGGAAATTGAGCTTAAGGTGATACTAGTTATTGCAAACAATGTTTACGGGTGTCACCATGTGGAAATTTAAGACTTCTTAACTAGAATGCTGTTACGTCGAGTCAGACATCAAATCCAGTTGCAAGCTCTCACTTCCCAGCATAAATGTTGTGGTGGGTGGGCGTGGCTAGCAGCTTATTTGGATTTAATGTCACAAGAGGCTCTAAAGCAGCTAAAATCTCATTATCTAAGAATAAATTTGTGCAAAAAATTTAATAAACATGTTTGTATAGGCCTATCCTAACCTGTTCTAGGAAGCATAAGAGGTCAACTTTAAGGTACATTTATTGCATAGTGAGTTTTGCAGACAGTTACTCACCTTGCTGAGGCTGCCACCACCGAAACACTGTGTAGGGAGTTTTTGCTGGAGGTGGAAGCTCAATGGTGACCACCTGAGGCTCCAAGAAGGAGCTGAAGTCCAACTCTCTCAGAAACTGCCACTGGATGCCATTATTGGTGGAGAACTGGACAATGACACCTGAAAGTACAAAAACAGCCTTTTAATAGGGAAAAGGGGGAATATTATTAACAGAAACCAAATGGGAAGCTTGCACTGTTCTAAACGACATGCTAGTTCTGGATATAAAGTCCAGTCACAGTGAGTTCATTCATTACACTCTTAGCTTGATGTTTTAGTGCAGATCCAGATTAATCCAACTCCGTTTCTCAGCAGGATGGAAGCGACACTTACTCAGCATGTGGAGATGTCACATGTGTAAAAGCAATAGAAAACTTGTAGCACAAATTAAATATTACGTATATTTTTATCCCCATTTCTAATGCAGCCCTGGGCATTTACCCACATGACCCTCATCAGAAACTTCTGATAAGTTCTTCTGTCACCAATAATCTTATAAACCAGCTTAAAAAACTGTTTAAAAAAACAGGAGCATTTTGGGAAATATGTTGCATAGGATGAGGGTCTCAAAGATCAAAAATGCTACTGAAGATATTAAAAATGTATAAATAATTGTACATTTAAGGAGGAGAGTGTGGTGTTTAAGCGTCATTCAATGTGGGAATAATTTAAGCCTTAATCTGGTGTTTGGAGATTTAAATGTTTGTAAGTTATGAGTATGACAGCGGCAGGAAATCAGAAGATCCTGCTTTTTCTTCCTGCTCCTTTCCAAACAAATAATGCAAAATTAACCAATAGGCATGATCATTTGTTTGAATTTTATTTTACTTTTTGTCTGTTCGAAATAAATGAATAAATTAAAAAAATAATAATAATCTTACAGTGTGAAATTCAGTGTTAATTTAAACCAATGTAATAATTTTATTCCACTTTAATTTTGTAATAGGGAGTAACTCTGACCTGAAATGGTTTGAACATTCACACAACAAGGTTTGACACAGCCTGCTATGTTTTAGAAACTGGAGGAATTTTAAGACGATACATATTCAATTTAGTCTTGGACTTGTATTTAGCTTTAGCTAATTTTATACTAAATGTAGAGATTTATCTACTGCAGGTAACTCAGTGTGAACTTTTAAAACGCCTTAATTTCAGCAATTTGCTACTTAAATTAAGAGAAAAAAGACAACGGAGATAAAGTCTGTGGCAGAACAATCGTACCTCACTGCAAAAACACAAAATCTTACCGTGTATGCTTAGTCTAGTGAAAATATCTTAATATGCCTGAAACAAGAGAAAACTAATTTACAGGCAACTTTTCAGCAACATTTGATTATTTAACTTATACCAAGACATTGTTCCCATATTATAAGTTAAATAATCTACCAGTGGAACAATTTCTTTTTATCACCATTAAGAAATTATTGACCTAAAACAACCTCTTGTGTCTTGCTATAAAGTTATTTTTGTCTTATTTCAAGTGTACTAAGATATTTGTACTAACTGAAAGAATATTTGGCAAGATTTTGTGATTTTGCAGAGCTGGAGGGATCAAGTTATCCTTCCTTTATTGACTTATATGCAGTTCCCACATTGAACCAGCAGAGGGCCTCATCACAACATGTGTTGTATTTGAAAACGACCTTCATTGCGCGAGCGAGGCCTGGTGCAGGTGGGTCCTAAACTCTTGCTGCCAATTCGGATGTAAAACTGAGCCAACCTATAAACAAAAAACAACAAAAGTGAATTTTATATTAAACAGCATCAACATAATGCTTCAAAACAGGGAGAATGAGAGAGTTGCTCCTCTCACCGCGTGTTGGTTGTGTCCAGAGGAGCTGTTTGTGCCTCCCGACGTCCAGCACTGCTGAAGTAAAGAGCCTTGCCCTCACTGATGATGCCACAGCCGCCTCCGATTTGCCCCCCGCTGATACTCTGCCAGAGAGGACTCAGCTTCCCCTCAAAGCCCTCTGTCAGCTCTGGGGGACTCGCTACGGATGGGACACAACTATCTTGCTCCACTATAAAGAAAATAAGGACGATTACAGGTTAAAATACAGCAGCATCATGAGATACTTGGTTACCTCAGCTTTCTGTCACCACAGTACCTGTGAAGCTCATATCGCAGAAGCAGACACCAGAAATGCAGTCTCCATGTCCCCCGCAGTGGTTGGGGCAGGGCTCGGAAATGTAGACTCCGTCCAAAGCAAACGGCGGCGCATCTCGGTACACGCTACTCTCCTGGAACCAACGGAACCTGGTTTTACTGAGAAAATGAATAAAGTTCAGGTATTTCAGTACAAATAAACCTTAGAACTTAAGGGTGAATTCACACCAGCCCAGTTTAATCTGCTTTAATCAAACTCAAGTTTGTTTGGTAGAAAGTCTGGTTTGTTTGGGGAAGTGTGAATGTGCAATTGGACTAAAAAAGCAAACTCTGGTCCGCCTAAAACCCTCGGTCTCGGCTCAGTTGGCGTGAATTATGGCGCGGTTCGGAAGCATCTGAATGCAAGCGAGTCAGAAACCGCTCCAAAAGCAGGAAGCAAACTACAGCGCAGGGCATTCTGGGTAAATAAAACCAAAACAAACATAAGAGTCTAGTGCTAGCGGGAGAAATTTCTTGTGGTCTTTTCCCAATGACAAAGGAGAAATCTTACAACCGCTAAAATCTGTTGTCACTCCACTTTTGTTTACATTTCATGAAGAAGAAAGTTGGGCTCATGTCTTCTTCTGAGGTTTTTGTGGCGTTTCTTTCAGCAGTTCTTGGTTTGTTTGACACAGTGCAGCTCGAAAACGAACCACAACAAAAATGTAACAAGTGTTGGAATTTTGGTCTCCAACTGAACCGAGTCTACCGGACCGGACTATGAGGTGTGAAAACAGTCTTTGGCTACAAAATCTGCCTTTTTCATGGCAGTCTGAACGACCCAATTCTGATCTTTTCACTTCCCCCCAAAATTCAGATTTGTGCTGATAGCTAATGGCACAAATCAGATGCTAATTTGGTTACGGATCCGATTGTTTTCAAGTGTCTGCTGTTTGAATGATAATGTTGTATTTTATCCGACTTTTATATAGATGTGAGACATCCACCACAATTCTGAGCCTAACAAAGAAGGAAGTCATGCTCAGTGTCTTCTTCAGATATTTTTGTGTCTTTCCTTCAGTGTTTCTTGGTGCAGCGCCACCACAGGCGAAGAGGAGAACACGTTTTTCAATTAGAGTGGTTTGACAGTGCAGAGTGAAACCAAGCGGACCTACCGGACTAAGAAACACAAAAACACAAAATCTTACCAAGTTTTTGGTCTAGTTTCTAGTGCAAATATCTCAATACACTTGAAATAAAACAAACTAACTTACACATAATTTTTTTAGCAAGACACAGAGGCTATTTTAAGTAAATAATTCCTTAAAATTGTTCTGAAGATTGATGAAAAAGTACTAATTCCATCAACTTGTAACATGGGAAAACTGTCTTGTTATAAGTGAAACAATCTGCCAATAGAACTGGTATTTTTCATCAATATTAGAATTTTACTAAAAACATGTCTTTATGTCTTGCAAAAAAGTTGCTTGTAAGTTAGTTTTGTCTTATTTCAAGTACACTAAGATATTTGCACTAGAAACTAGACCAAAATAATTGGTTAGATTTTGTGTTTTTGCAGTGTAACTACATTTGAAACACACTGTAGGGAGCTACCTGGCTGCCACGTTTCGGGGTATGACCACTGTGATCCTGGTCCACTGTTCGTAGTCTCCAGTGTTGTAGACGGTCGGTTCTCTGAGCTCACGGCCGCTGCCTTCGCAGACGCCTGTTCCCGGCGTTCCGGGGTAGCAGCCTTCTCGGACCAGCGCCCAGGTTCTGCCGGCGTCGTGGGAGTACTGCAGCAGGACTGGGGCTGAGGCGCTGAACTCTGACTCACAGCCGATGTTCAGCTACAACCATAAATAAAGTTTAAAAAAACCCAACTAATTAGAAAAACTAATAATTAGACACAAAAATAAGCAAATTGTTTAGATTTTTCATTTAACTACTTAAGCCAGTTCAGTACAATATAGAAATATATTTAAAAATGCAAATGAAAAATGTATTTTTTTTAAAATACAAAAGTAAAACGTTAATTGCCTAAAAAGCAGTAGCAGCATTCATTTATTGAACACTTAAATGTCTGCGGCTAAATAAATAAGCTCAGACTTTCTGCAGGTGAAGCCATCACCTGAAGAGCTCAAGTTAAAACGTGTTTACAGACAGAAGGTTTTTTTTTTATCTTAAATGGAAAACATTTATTTTTGTACAGCTTTGGTCTAATTACTGCTCTGAGTTTGTTGTTCTTTCAGTAAATTGCCTTTTTTGAGCCTGTCTATGCCTATTAATAGGTAATTGATTACTAATTTAGTTGACAATTATTTTTTCAGTTAACCGCAATTGATCCAATTAATGGTTTCAGCAAGAGATGCATTGATCCAATATTAATATCTGGATTGATCCTGACAATGAAAGAAAATCTAAATGGGGAATCTATTCAGCCTAATTCTATGCTTTGCTCTTTGAGCAATTACATGCTGTATTATTTATTTTACATTACATTTAGATTTCCTCATTGCACTTTCTGAAAAACTTGAAAGGTTTATTTTTTCAAGATACCCAACCGTTCGTTTCAGTTTATTATTTATTTTGCATTGGCTGTTTTACTTCTAATGTGAGTGACTAGAATAATCAACGTTGTTTTTACATGTAGCTTGTGAAGCTGTTGGTGTGTTTAAATGTGTGGTTCTGGTTCAGAGTTACCAGATACATTTGTAATTCAGTAAATCTATTCATACGTTTATTTTTAAAGAAATATTTTCAGCTGTTTTTCTGTATCAGATCGCCGATACTAAACTCCAGATATCGGTTTTGGAGATGTAAACAGTGGAAATCCCTAGTTTCAGTATTTTATTTGAAAACGTCTCCCTAACCTTAAACTGAAGGGTGTACCCAGGCCGGAGGGCCAGGTCCCTGGTGACGGCCACCCTGTCTCCATCGGAGCGTCCAAACACCATCGCCGAGGGAGTCGGAGCGCAGAAGCTGCTGTTGTTGTCCCTCTCCATGCCCTCGTTGCCGAGCATCAGCCAAACGCTCATCTGGTTCAGAGGGTAGTCGAACGCCGGCTTCTCGTAGAAGTTCTGTGCAGAAGACAAAAAACAGATGTTGTGTTTTCTGGTAATATTTATCCAGAAATAATTTCTTGCAAAATAAAGAGGCAGATTTAAGATGTTTTTGAAGTCAACTGTTTGCTGTAGTGGAAAAAGCTGTTTATTGGCAAGCTAAACATGTCAAATGCATCTTAATGAATACAAACACTGCTTTTCAGACAGTCAAAATGTTATTTAATTGACTTCACCACCTGTGTGTTTGGCATTATTGGAAAGCTTAGAATCAACATTTTCAGAATCTGTAAACAGGATTTTCTTTTTTTTTTCCAGGGACCCTAATCCTCTTTTGTAAATACCAGTTTATTTTACTTAATTAAGAACATTTGTGTGTGTGTGTGTGTGTATGTGTGTGTATCAAATGTTGCTTCATAGAGAAGAATGTATATAAAAAAGAACAATATGTAGATCTGCCATTATAACTACATACATTTTGCTGGGTGATAAATTGTCCCAGTAATTATTACGATAAGCGATAATGTTGTTTTGAGATCATTTTCAAGTTACATATTGATAATTGCATAATGATGCAAATAAACCCTCTGCAAAGACCAATAAACTTTAATTTTGTAAAGAACATTTCACACTGGAACATATTAAAATATCCAAAATAAAACAATCAAAAATGAAAAATAAAACAGAAATAAAAATCACAAACATCAGACCCCGTAAATAAAATGGATTATGAACTCTGAAAACAACATTTAAAAAAAAATATTAATCATCAGAATGGATATTATTGAGCTCATTTTTATTTATGTGATCATTTGATTGTTTGTTGCAACAAGCATAACCACATGAATAAAGAAAATATATATTTTTCCAGTCCTACATTTTAAAACAAAAAAACTGCATAAAATATAATGAGAAAAGAAGGTGTATTAATAGGGTTAGAGCACATAATATTATCTGATGCCATGCTGGAGTCTGACCTGCGGCAGAGTCGGGTTGGCCATCGGGATGATGTGCTTCTCCCTCTCTGACAAAATGATGACGTCATCAATCGCCCACTGGTCGTACCCTTCCCCAGAATGAAGCGGCTGCCACCACCGAAAGCGAGTGGAGGGAGTTTTCGAAGCCAGAGGAAGTTCGTAATGAACAAAGCTGCGAAAGGAAAAAGAGCGGCTTCATTATTCTGGAACCACATGCACCTCTGAGCAGCCGAGACGTTTTACTCTGCTGGTTTCTGCCTGCCTCACCGAGGTTTGGTGAAGTCTGTGAAGTACATCTCAGCGATGAGGCCCCAGCTGATTCCTCCGTCGTTGCTGTACTGCAGCAGCACTCCCTCCTCCCTGCTGTCTGCCTGGTTACACTCCGCCCAGTCTCCGCCCACACGCAGGTAGAACTGCACAAACTCCGCCCACTCCGTGTCCAGATCCCAGCTCACCAGCTCCCGCAGCCCAGCCTGACCACAGCGTGCACACAGTCACAACATTTGGTCAGATTTCATCATGCTCACTGCAAAAACACAAAATCTTACCAAGTAGGTTGGTAGGTTTAGTAAAAATATCTCAGGTTACTTGAAAAAAGACAAAACTAACTCACAGGTAACTTTTCAGAAAGAAATGTGAGCTTGTTTCAAGTCAATAATTCCTTAATATTTATTGATGTAAAATACTGACAGATTATTTCACTTATAACAAGACATTTTCCCCATGTTATAAGTGAAATAAACTGCAAGAAGTTATAGCAATAAACGATAATATTATTGTTTTGAGGCCATTTTTAAGTAATGTAATGATAATGGCATGAGAATGCAAGAACACAGTCGTAAAGATCAATAAACTCAAACATTTAACATGGACAACATTTTAATTACCAAAATAAACTTCCAGAAAACTGTAAAACAACCGAAACACTGAGTTCCTTTAAATCGAGGCATAAAGCCCACCTTAGAGTTTAGAGTTTAAATCGATTAATAAGTGAACATAGATTAATTCTAGTCTAGATTACATTGTTTGTCTTTATTCTGCCATTGTAATGCAATGTTGTATTTTGTTAATTGTGTTACGCTGTCATCATGTAAAGCACTTCAAACGACTTGAAGATGGAAATAAACTTGACTTAAATATTATAAAATGTTAAAGAAAATGCTTTTCAAAATCTCCTAAAGTTGATGGTCTTAATATTGTACCAATCTGACAAAAAGGTTGAAATACATAATTGAAAGCCATAAAATAATAACATTCACTTAATCGATGATGAGTGTGAAATTCTGATAAGCACTGAGCTGAAAACATGAAAAAACTGTGGAAAAAACGTAGCTGCAGCTGGAAAACCTGATTTAAAACGTGCTCAGCAATGCGTCAACAGCCGCGTAATCGCCAATCAGACTCATGAACTCTCTGGAGAGTTATTTTTTTAAACATTCAGGGAAGAGTTCAGAGGTCAATGGCTCTTAGCAACGAGCACTGGACAGTAATCAGGGACAGTCATATAACTTGGTTTACCTTAATAACACAAACTTACCACATGTTTGATCTGCTACGTGTGAAAACACAGAAAACGTTCGTGTGCCAGATTTTTTTGTGCAATTAAGCTCATTGGATTTTACATAAAAATAATCACATTTAACACTTTATCTTGACAGGACTGAATTAAATCGACATTTTCGTTACCTTGCTGAAGTACAGCGACGATCCAGACGACACCACCCCACAGCCCATGTCGGGCGCCACCACCTCTCCGCCAATCACCTCCTGCCACGTGGCCAGCAGCGCGTCTTGGGACTCAAAATCTGAGAGGACGCTTGACGAGAGCGGAGACGACGGCTGGCAGTCCGGACCCGAGAACCCGTCGTCACACCTGCGTGAGATTAGAGGGCGACTTTAACCCAGCCGTCCATTTATAATCTGTCCCACATGCATCCGCGGGTCAGGAGGAGAGACTGGCCTGCAATGTCCGTGGTCACACCAGCCGTGTCCGTGGCACATGTTGGGACACTGCTGGCCGATGTAGACGTCGTCCAGAGCCCACTCGTCCTGCTCGCCGTAGTAATTCTGGATCCATCTAAACCGGGTTGCACTGGACCTGAAACAATTAGAATTTACAGCTCTGGAAAAAATATAGAGACCACTTAAAATGATCAGTTTCTCTGGTTTTACTTTTTATAGCCATATGTTGGAGCAAAATGAAGATTGTTCTTTTATTCTATGAACTACTGACAACATGTCACCGAAATTTAGTATTTAGTATTTATTTGCAGAAAATGAGAAGTGGTCAAAATAAGGAAATAGATGCAGTCCTTTCAGACCTCAAATAATGCAGAGAAAACAAGTTCATGTTCATTTAGAAACAACAATATTAATGTTGTAACTCAGGAAGAGTTCAGAAATCAGTATTAGGCGGAATAACCAGGAGGCTTTTAATGGGGTTCAGTGCAGTGGGCTCTTCATTTTTCCTGAACTTTATATAAAACATTTCCTCAAATTTTAAAATGTGAAATGATGCAAAATTGACATTTTACATGTTTCTGTACGTCCACTGATTCTAAAAAACCCCAGCCGGCTGTTTTTTTATGGCAATAAGTTGAAGTTTAGTGAACCATTTTAAAAAAACTATTGGGAATGTAACTTTAGAAGTCAGTAGGTACTGCTCTTCACCTAGTGACTCCAGCGAGGCCCAGTCTGTTACCTAGCAACCCAAGCGGAACCCAGTGCGTTTCCTAGCAACCCAAACTGAGCTCCAGCTCTTTTGGTAAGCTGATTTTACCGCTGTAATCTCTGTACAATGGCTGCTGGAAAAAAGAAGTGTTTCGTGGTTGACTTTACCATCTAGAAACAACTTGCTAAATGGCTGTTGGTTGTGCAGGAGGCTCTACTTCTGCTTTTCAAAGATGCACAATTGTACAACTGAGCATCTGTTGGCAGCCATTTTCAAGCGCGAGTGTGATGCTGCGTTCCAGTTGAATTTGAAACTGGGAAATTCCAACTTCTCAGTCATAAGAATCAACTTCTGACTGAAGTCATCTGAAGTCAGATTTCTCCCAGTTCAAATACTGAAACGTGGCCATGTTGCGTCTCAATGTGGCCGCTCCTCACATCAGCAGCAGTAATTTGTGGTGGAAATGTGTATTTTACTAGACACACAGGTAAAAGTGCATCTAAAATCAATGTAACATGTAGTGCCTGCAGCTCTAAACTGCAGTTGAGGAACGCTGTCGGGTCGAAAGGCTAATCCAGTTTCAAGTTCCCACTTCCAGGTTAACTGGATCGCAGCATAAATGTTGAGTTGTGGCCGTGGCCAGCAGTAGATTATTTGTATTTAAAGTGACAAGAGGCCCTAAATAGCTCAATCTGAAATTAGCTCAAATTCAGCAGAACTCAGCAGACTAAAATCAGATTATCCAAGAATGATTTTGTGCAAAAAATGTAACGAACGTAGCGCATAGACCAATCCTAACCGGTTCAGCGAATCACAAGCGGTCACCTTGTAATCCAGTCAGGTGTCACATCTAATGTTTCATACTGTTGAACGTCAAATTGAAGAGATTTTGTGGTATAAATATGGCAGGTTGGAGATAATAAACCACTCTGGCCTCTTGGTTTACTGCTTTACGGATCCATATCGGATTGTCTCGTGTTCATTCAACCTGCACACAGCTGTTTTATTACCACTAGGGGCCGTGACCTTCTGACCTGTCACCGTACTCTACAGGAGATTACAGCACCGTTATTTAGGAGCTGGGGTGTTGGAATGAAATGGAGGTTGAGGTCAGGGTGTTCAGCAGAGGCGACGGTTTAAGCTGAAATATGTCCGAACTGAGGCTGCTTCATGTTATTTATAGCCTATTTAGCTGCATGCGTTTTAAAGATCGATGAAAGCCGAAACCCAATAATACGTGACCTCATCAAATCTTTACAGTATCTTACAAAAGAGTAAAACACATCTAGAGACTTCTGCCCATTTTTCTGAGCAAAACAGATCAATGAGAAAGTTACAGACTGTCGCAGTGTTGAGATCTGGGCTGTTCTAACACATGTATGTTTTTTAATTTAATTTTTGTCTCTTTAATTTAACTGAACTGAATTTAATATCCCTTTGGAGTATGTCTGAATGAAAACTGAATCTGAATGACCAGAGAAACGTATTTTCTCACAACAATTTATTTCTTCTTACTGTTCAATAAAGTTCAGCACTGAACTTTATTTCTTTATTACTATTGGATCATCCTGTTCAATAGTTTCCATAATTGGTTTTAGTTTTGTTTTTTTATATATCGCATTAAACTTACACACAATATTCCAGAACTGGAACAATAATGAAATTTGTTGAGTAAATTAAGTTTTAAAATATCACGTTTTACCTAAAATTGAAATAATTATTGATCGTTTAGACTGAAATGTTATGTAGCTTCCAACTAATTTCTTACAATTTTCATATTTTTAATACTTTTTAGTGTTTACAGATATAGTTAATTTAGTTATTTTTTTTTTTAGTAATAATTTGTTTCTGTTAAAATGTTTGTGTCCTGTGCAAATATAACAAATATAACTTTATTTGATTCCTTGCAAACGTAATTAAATAAAGTATAAACAGTTTAGGACCAAACACTGGCCCCTGAGGAACCCCAGACGATACATCCAAACTACTGACAACCAAATGTTTGCAGAAATGACTGCCTGTTCTTTTAGATATTGCTATGTATCTGCTCTAGCAACATTTCTATTAAACCATATTGTTTTTATTTATAAAACAATATAATCCACATATTTCCAACTGGAATTTATTTAGGGGTATCAGAGTTAAGGAAGCTGGATTCATACGCAAGCCACACATTTCAGTGTTAAGTCTAAAAAAACTTTTACAAACTTTGCGCTTGAGTTCTGGATGTTTACATTTATAAAATCTTAATAAAAAGCATTTTGGAAGAACAAGTTTATGGTTGTAATGGTGAAAAATGTTTAAGGGATGTGCATATATGTGAAATGGTTAAAGGGTTAGCAGATGATTATGTGTTTCTATTCAGGCCTGCAGCCGCTGACGGAGGAAAACGCAGACCTTTACTCGTATTCTGCTGTTCATTTTGTGTAATTGACCTGACTGCTGTCAAACCACAATGCGCTTATTAGCCACAGTAAAAAAAAACAAAACAAGGCAAAATCAAGATCAGAGGGTGTTTAATCCCAAACGGCACTTTGTGAGTCTTTTTCTCTGAATTGTACTTACCACGTCTTCTGAGGCAACGAGAGCGTAACTCGTCTCCAGTCTTTGAACTCAGACGGATGGTAGACACTGGGAGCTGTAAACTCAGAGCAGCTCGGCATGCCAGGTAGACAGGCCTAGCAAGAGAAAGGAAACCTTTTAAGATATGCTTTCTTTCACATATTCACCAGAGGGGCTACAACACTGCTCACTCTGAATTTCTGATATGTTCTTAGAACTGTATGCTGCAGATTAGGTTTAGCCAGTTTTATATGATCATAAATAGAGTTTGCTGAATTATGGCATCTTTGACCTGGAGCATTGAATGATCAGCATGGATTAACTCTACCAAGAGCACAGTCAGTCTGTACTTGCAAGATGCATGTACACTATAAAACATCTGGAAGTGGCTTAAAAAGAAAGTCCACCTGCGGCCTTGAAAATGTAATTTAAGTCAACAAGAAAGTTGTTTTACTAATGTTTTACAGTGTAGGTGAATCAGAGAAAAGTCACTGATGAAGAAGAGAAAGTCATTATAGTCCATTAAGCTCCAAAAGCAATAAAAAAATCAAACTTCTGAATATTTATGAAGCCGTTATGATCATAGAAAGTCCTTGTTGAAGATAATCTGCCGTCTCTTTCACATACAGACGTGTATTTGCTGATAGCGGAGTGATTAAAACTAATTGTGATGATTTGTCATTTAAAACAAAGTGGCACATTTAGGCTCATTATTTACATATTATCTCTGTGGCTGTAATGGCTAAATCAATATTCATGATCATAAATAAATAATTTGTGTCCTTGTCTCTATGCAATGGGACAATGTGAGAAGTTTCTGCCACAGAGAAGCATGTGTTGGGAAAAATAAAATATAAGCCACATTTACCTCTTTGACCAGGTGCCAGGTGAGGCCGTGATTGGTGGAGAACTCCAGGCGCACCTGGGTGTCGATGTGAGGGGAGGGGTCGCGGCCGCAGCCCATTACCAGTGAGAACTGCAGGCTGTAGGAGGCGCCGATTTGCATCGACTGGGTTTCAACATAACGGATGCTGAATCCGGGACTGGGCTCACCGGAGAAACTGAAGAACGACACGAACAACCCGGGAGGATCAGCTTGTTAGATGTTTTTAACACTGCTACAGATTAATAACGAAACTATTTCTGGTATGAGAACGTCTGAAACCTTAGAGTCCAGTCGTGCTGGCAGTACGGCTGAACGTTTCCCAGGTAAAAGCCGAGACTCTGCGTGACGTCCAGCACGTTGCTGAAGTCCAGACTTATGGTGTTGAACAGAACCGAGGTCATGCTGATTTCATCCAAGGCCCAAACGTCGCGGCTGCGTCCCGAGTGATACGGCTGCCACCAGCGGAACTGGATGCCAAACTTACGAGCGCCCGACGGAAGTTCGACTGAAACGATCCTAAAGGAGCGAGGAAATCAGACATCAGCAAAAAAAAACAAACACCATTAATGTCACTGATTCAATTCTAAAAGCAAAACTCGAGTTATTTAAATTCACCTCAAGAAATTTATTTTTGTTTTTTTAATTTCTGCTGACGACTCAGAACTAAAGAAAACGCAAAATTCATTTGCCCAGAAAATTTGAATATTACATACAAACAATACAAAATCGATTTTTAGAACTGAAATGTTGTACTCTATGACATTAGAGCGATAGTATGCAGAAAAAAGGAGCAAATTTCCACCAGAAAACTGAAATGTTGAGAGTAGACTCTGAATCTTTCTAGAAAAAAAAACGTGAAAATATCTGAGCTTCAAAAGTCAAAAACTTTCTTTGCATCTCAGAAAATTCCAAGTCTTTTCTAGAAAATTTCTGATTTTTTGTAGCAAATTTTCGTCTTTTCAAGTTTAATTTTTATTTCTTTTTTAATTCTCGAACATTTCTGAGATTAATCTCAAAATTTAGTTTTTTTTGGTGAAAATTTAATCCTTTAATCTACATTGACCCCACTATGCCATTGTACTTTTCAGTATCTCCAGGATTTTGCATTGCTTTGTGATTTTTTACAATCAAATCACAGAATTTATAATGAAATACTGCCACCTGCAGGTGGGAGTCAGCAGTCACGTAAACACAATGGGTTTGACTATTCTTGCAAAAAATAAATAAATAAATAAAAAATAAAAAATTGCAACAATTTTGCATTAGTAATGCACTGAATACTGAGATGTGTTTATTTTGCATTAATTATTCTATATTTACTGAGGTTATGTATGATCCTAACTGTCTGGGGAAATGAATCATGGGTTTTCATAAGTCATAATAATTTAAATTATCAGCAATCAATGCTTTAATTCTATCCATAAGAATAAGAGTCCTCTAGGGGGAAAAAACCCCTACATTTTATAAACTGGATCAGTATAAATACTTTCTTTGTTTGGCCATGTGTCAGAATCACAGCCGAACTGGTGTAGGAACATTAAACTATACAGTTTATGATGTAATCCAAGCAGATCAGCAGGAATTAATCATACAGACTGACAGAACGGTGAGTCAGGCCTCGACTTGGACGGAAAACCTACACAAACACATTCTGCTGTTTGTAATTAATGTACATGGAGACGTGGTTTTAACTCTGACAGTTACAGTGCACAGACAAAATATCAAATTTAATGCAACTTCTAAGCAACTTTTCAGTAAGATATGCGAGCTTGTTTTAAGACCAAGTCCTAAACATTGATGAAAAGTACTAGTTCCACTGGCAGGTTATTTCACTTAGCGTCTGTTAGTGTAGATGTGGATTCATTTCCTCAAGTGCATTTATTTAGGTGAGATGAATAAAAGGAGATGCCTTTTTTTTTTGCCTTGTTTTCTGCCCACTTTGTTGGTTTACGAATCGGGCTAAGCTATGCTTACTACCCACATAGTTGTCTTCAATTTTATTGCTAACCTTTTTTTTTTTTTTTTTAAAGACATTTTTCCTTTGTTATAAGTGAAATAATCTGCCAAAATAACTAGCACAAAACAAGCTCATATCTGACTGCCGAAAGAAAGATTATTGCTCCATATCAAAGTATAACCGTACAGAAGCAGCAGAAACGCAGACGTTACCTTGGCTCGTGGAAGCCTTGGTATGCGTAGTGCCGCAGCAGAGTCCAGGTGATGCCGTTATCTGAAGAGTAATGCAACAGAACGCCTTCACCCGGCTGATCGGGAGCCGGGCATGAGCTCAGGATGCTGCGACTGCCGAGGCGCAGAGTGAACTGGAGGTATCTGCAGATCAGATGAGGAAGAAGTGAAAAGGTGATAGGTTGAAACGAGCCGGTTTTCTGTGGCGAGAAAAGGAAGGCAGGTAAGGTGAACAATTTCTACTTCACGATTTCTAAGTGTGAAGTAGAAATTAAATGTTTTGGTATGAAAATTTTTTGGACTACTTGCAAGACACAGGATCTAACAGTGAGACATGGTGGTGGCAGCGTCACTCAGTAAGAGTAACATCACTACTTCACCATATTTTTACTCAAGTAAAAGTAAAAAAAGTATTTGGTAAAAAGTCTACTCAAGTACTGATCAAATTATCGTCTAATATTCAGCTGGACCAAAATGTAAAGTTTTGGTATTTTAAGGACAAAAACTTTTTTCCCTGACATTTACGAGTTAAGGACAAATATTATCACAAACACATTAAAGTTTCTTGTGTTGAGAAAAAAAATGGAAGAAGTTTTAAAATAAAACGTATGAAATGATCACAAGAGCCTAAGTACATAAGAGGGATTAAAAATAAAAAGTAGACACACGTCGGGGTGCACTGATTGCAGTTTACCGGCTGATTTGTGATATTTAAAAAGCTGGACTTGTGATTCCAATTTCCAATCACTGATTTCAGAAAATTAAGGAAATCAGCCAATAAATCAGCTGGCCGATAAATCGGTGCAAAACCCTAGACGTCTAAATTTAGTTATGAAAAACTTTGTATCACATCTTCTAATCCCTGCAGACTCATTAGTTTCTAATCTAGTTTAATGCATTTTTTATTCAGATGTCAATCATCTCCTCTTGGCTCCCAGATTCACCACCTCTGGCTCTCTGTCCTCGGTTAAACTGTTCTTTCATTAGCAGCACACTTCCCTCTCTCAGGCAGCTGTTTACTTTATCAGCCAGGAAACTGGCATTAAATATGGCTGCCATCTGTAACAGGTGCGATCAATCTAACATAATGCCAAATCATTAATCTAACACTTTAATGTCTTCTTCTCTCAGCTAAAGCTTCGCCCCAAACACCGTACATCTACAAGCGTGACATTAAAGCAGGAGAGCGAAGTGATGGATCACTGGAACAAGGAAGCTTTCTGCACTACTTTATCCTCAGACTGCAGATCTGCTTCTGTGCATGATAAACACTTTATATCCGCTCCATCAGTACCTGGCCTGGGAACTGTCGAGCGGCGCTGTGACCAAGTGTCTCCTGCCGTCCCTGTTAAAGACCAGAGCCTTTCCGCTGGCCAGCACGCCGCAGCCAAAGCTGACTTCAGCGCCGCGCAGCGACGAGAAGCTGTGGTAGGAGGAGAGACGCGGGCTGGAGAAACCCTCCGACAGGAAAGCGGGGAAGGTCTGCGACGCGAGCTCACAAGCCGGACCGCTGAAGCCTGGGTCACATCTGTGCAGAGAGGATGAGATTTGAAGGCAGAAACGATCAAATGGAGCGACAGAAAATGAAAATTCATTAATAAATCATACAAATAATACAATCTGATTCATTTTTAATAGAGCTAAAGGCTTCAGATGTCAGAGCTCAGTCGTTCTGGATTTATCTAGAGTATTAAAAAAGTCGACTCTCACTTGCAGCCTGTGCGGGAGCAATGTCCTCGTCCAGAGCAGAACCGGAGACAAGCCGGTCCGATGTACACTAAAGAACAACAGAACTTCAGACGGCTTACATAGATCATAAAATCTCAAAGATTAAAAGAAGAAATGAAAACAGTGAAATGAACTCAAACACGACAAGTTGATTTAGAAATTTTTACACACACTTTGCATGAATGTTGCAATAATTTAGAGCTTTTAATCATTTCATTAAGCTGTTCCTTTTTGGGGACGGCTGATAAAACAACATAAAACTTTAATATATTTTTAAATAAACACTGGATACACAAATTTGAATTTATTGAAATTTTATCAATTTGACGCACAAATAATGAGATGAGAGGTCCAATGATAGCATGCTTACGCTTTAGAAAAAAGGAATGGAGTAAATATTTACCTTGATAACTAACTAAATATCGTAATAAACATTTTGATGAATAAAAATTTAGCTCTACTTAAATAAACATGAACATAATTAAACACAAACATATTTAATTTAGCTAAATATTTAGCTTTAGTTAAATGCTTACATCCTAAATATTTAACTAAAGCTAAATATTTTAGCTTGAAGCTAATAACTATTCAGCATGTTAACAAAATAATTAGCACTTTAATATTCACTTTGAAGCTAAATATTTATATGAAAGATAAATATTTAGTTTAGAGCTTAATATTCAGCTTGGTAACTAAATATTTAGTATTTTAATATTTAGTTTTAAGCTAAATGTTTAGTTTGGATCTAAATATGTAGCTTGGTAACTAAATATATAGTTTGTTAAACTGAATACTTATCTTTCAGACTAATATTCAGCTTGCTAACTAAATAGGTAGTTAAATATTTAACACGTTAACAAAACATGTAGTTTGGTGCTAAATATTCTGGAGCTAAATAATACATTTATAAAAAATGAGTTACAGTGAAATGACTTCAAAAAATAATTTGTTTTTTTCTCATATGAGATTAAATAAATCAGCTTATTCTCGCTAATTTTCTACTTTCACTTTACAAGCTGCTTGAATTTGTGCCGGATAGAAATTTTAATATTTAATTCTGATCATTCATGTTGCTAAAACCTCCGTTTCTCTCATAACATCTGCTACTTTTGTAGATATTTGAAATCTCACAGAAAGTCTTGCTTTTAAACCCTGAATTAGTTTAGATTATATGTGGCGTTCTAACCGTTGTCTATGGCCCACATGTTGCCGGCTCCGGTGCCGGTCTGCTTCCAGCGAAACCGGGTCGTCTCTGTCAAGGCAGCATTGGGCAGGGGGATAGAGATTCTGGTCCACCTGAACCAACAAACAAAGCACACTTTGGCAATAAGATTCGTTAAATGCACAAACGTACGGCAGTAAGTGAGAACATGTTAGCAGAAACTTTACCCGCTGTAGTTGTCTGAGGAGTAGATGGTGCTGTGAGGTAGATGTGGCCCGGCACAGAGTTCTGGCAGACACTCGGTGTGCAGCAGAGACCAGGAGCGACCGAGATTGGTGGAAAACTCCAGACTCACACTAACAGGATGAAAACCAGCTTTGTTTTCTGATCAGGCTCCCTTGTGGCTACTTTATTCTGCCGGAACGTGTGTCATACCTGTTGGCAGGCTGGTAGGAGCCGCAGCCGAGGTTGATGGAGAACTGAGCAACATGTGTGTGCGTGCCAGGCAACACAGGGAGCAGCTGCATGAAATCCACGGCCCACACATGACGGTTAGCGCCTCCGTGGGACCGCTGCTCCAAGCAGAACTGCGTGACCGGTGTTTGCAGCTCAGATGGCAGCGCGACAGATACGACTGAAGGAGTCTGAGGAAGAAGATGGAAAAGATCCGAACAGAGCAGCACAAAATTAGAATCAAGTTCATGATTTTACACTTTACAGAACAATAAAGGCTGATTCTATTCTACAAGTCTGTGAGCAAACCGATTAATGAAATTTAATTAAATATTGAAGGGGAAATATTGTGCATTTTCCAGGCATAAAGCACTGTTTTATAGCACAGTAAAGTCACTGTTTTAACTTTAGTTGTTAGGGTTAAATTCTGCATACCTAAAATGTGACTTACAAGAAATTTTATTTTGTAATTTAACTCCTTTAATTTGGGTCTCTCAAGTGGTTCTCGGAGGCGCTGCACCAAGAACCACTGATGGAAACGACACAGAGACCTCAGAAGAAGACATGAGCTCAACTTCCTTCTCTCCAAAATGTAAACAAACACTGAGCAGCGTCAGATATGAGCAGTTATTGGGTTTCTCTTTTGTCTATGGTAAAAGACAACGAGTCATTTCTCCAGCTAGCGTTAGAGCAGCACGTTTGTTTAGGTTGTTTTTACCCACAATGCCATGTGGAATATTCCATTTCCTGCTTTTGGAGCAGTCTCTGGTCCGCTTGCATCAACATGTCCAATCAAACCGCAGCAGAGTTCCCTTCATAGGAAAGGAGACTGAGGTTTGTAAGCGGACCCGCGTTCGCTTTTTAGTCCGCATCAGAGTCCGATTGTGTATTCACACATCCACAAACGAACCGGACTTTCTAGACAAAAACACCAGAGTTGGATTAAAGTGATGTGACTGCAGCCTAAATCGCCTGCTCTGCTTGACATTAAGGGTAAAAACATCAGCATAAAACTTTATTATTAGATTAGCTCCTCAAATCAAATTTACTGCTTTAATGAAATGTGGAGGTTTTTCCAGAGATTATGAAAAGGTGATGGAAACAAGAGAAGCAATTCAGAAGTGAATTAATGTGGTTTCTATTTCAGTTTTCCACTATAGGAGCTGTGTCTCACCCTGTAGGAAGAGTATGGGAGAGTGTCGAGCACCACACGCTCTCTTCTGCCCTCTGACCTTCCAAACAGAACCACATTGTTCTCATGCGACTCCCCTGGATCGCAGTCACCTCCACCTGCACAAAATACCAGCCAAATCCAGCAAAACTACTGACAGCAACTACAATAAAGGTCATCAGGAGAAGCCAGAGGTAACGCATACCCATGGTGAAGTGGAAGCGGAGATTTCCATAAGACGTGGTGTCCAGGTAGGGGGTGCACACTCTTCTCCGACCCTCCTTCTCGAACACCAGAGCAGCGCCTGATTCAATCTCTCCACACTTTGTCCCGTACATTGCTCCCTCTATGTCCCAGCTGAGAAAAAAAGTGAGAGATTTATTATGTGTTATGTAGCACAAATCTGGAACAAACATTCAGAAAACTGCAAAACAGCCGAAACACTGAGTTCCTTCAACTCCAGACTAAAAACCCACCTGTTTAGAGAGACTTTTGAAACATAAGTCAACAATCTGATGTGTAACGACGGCATTTGACAAAATGTAATGCTTCAATTGTTGACTGTGTGTTTATGATTTTGTTTTTATGATGAAACGCTGTGTGTACTGAAATGTGCTATACAAATAAACTTAACTTGGCTTAATGTATGTGTTTTCGAGCCACAGAGGACTATTTTATACCACAATCAAGCAATTATGTTAACTCCAGTAGTTATAAAAAAGATGTGTATGTCAAATGTGGCTTCCAAGAAATTTGACTGTTATTTGGCGTCTCTGTCGCTTTAAAAACTGCTTCAGGAAGTCATTACAACATCACTCCTCTATTAACCCTTCAACAACGTTTTTACTAGCAAGTAGTTGCTACAATGAGATGCACAGTTCCACCAGGTGTTTGCTAATTGCTGCTGGCTAGTCTGAAGGAGTCACAGAGCTCAGAAGCTTGGAAACTGCAGTTCAGAGGAGGAGCTGCGCTTGGAGGGCGGGGCTAGGTCCACCCAGGCATTTTGCACAGCTGAGTGGTTGCCATGGAGATCAGAGGATTTCTAAACATGCATGAAAGAATCAAAGCAACACTCCAGGAATGTTTTTTATGGCCAAACAAAATTATAACATGATGTAAAGTTCAAAAAGGCCAGTTCCATGTAATACTGCCCCTTTAACATTTAAGGCACATTTTCACGCACATTTGATGACCTGCTAAAATCACAGCGCCATCTAGTGGCCTGGCATGACAACTGCAGCTGAATCAAGATGTCGTCTAAACATGGGACGTTTTCTCAATCAGCATCAGAAAATACCGGCAGTTTCTCGTGTTAACATAGCCTTAATGTTCAAACCCGGCTTATAAGGCAAACAAACAAACAGTTTTTGGCATGAATCACCTGGAATGGGACTTCTACAGGATGCACATATTTCACCACGGCAGACTTTTCAGATTCTCATTATCTCCGACAGAAGTTTGCTCAGTGTGTCAGCCCAGCTCTCCGTAGTTCATCCGACTCCCCTCACAGTTTCTGTTTTTCTCCTGTTCCCCTTCCTGCTGTTACTATCCGTTTTCTGTCTCTGTCACTGCTGGGTTAAACAACACGCGAAGCGTACCATTAACAAAAGAGAAGAAGGAGTCTTCCCGGCCTCCTTGTACATGTGTTCAGTTCACAGATCCCTGATGGGCGAGAGCTTCACGCAGGGCGGCGTGTCGGGATGTAGGTGTGAGGGCGTGGTCCTTCTCATTAATGGAAACGCGTACTGACAGAGCTGATGCATGGAGCCTGTTAATTACTCCCTGGCAGCAGCGCTATCCACCAGCCCTCTCTTTTCATCTCTGCGCCTCATGCAGAGCATCAGACAGTGCTTCCTTGCTCTCTGCTGTCCGGTGTGTGTTTTCCCGTACGGTTGTGTGCTCTGAACAGATGGACGGCCATCTCTGTAGCAGTCAGAGGTATGCCGATCACCTGTGTGGGTTCCCACGCTTGACTTACGCAGCGCTGCGTGTTTCATTACAGGACATATGACAAGTGACAGGCGTCAAAGCATTTTGAATGTTTGCATACCTCAGTAACCCTGCCAATGTAATTCTTTCCCACTTGCCAGGAGTTAAATATAACCATATAAGCAAACCAGTAATTCACAATCCTAAAAGTATTTGTGGTCTAGTTTCTACTGCAAATGTCTTAGTTCACTTGAAATAAGACAAAAATGACTTACAAGTAACTTTTTAACACAACATAGAAGCTTGTTTTAAGTAAATAATCCTTAATATTGATGAAAAAGTAATAGTTCCACTGGCAGATTATTTCACTTATAACAAGACATTTTTCCTGTTATACGTGAGAGCAATACTTTTTCATCAATATTTAAAAATTATTTACATAAAACAAGCTTCTATGTTGTGTTAAAAAGTTACTTGAATTAAGACAAAACTAACTTACAAGATATTTACTGTAAAAATTAGACCAAAATACTTGGGAAGGTTTTGTGTTTTTGCAGTGTAGTGGTATATAAACTTGGGAAAACAATGACAGTCGCTCCATTCAATACTTCATCCCTCACTTTGGGAGTTCCTCATGGCGCCTCAACACGATTAAGTTAAGTAGCTGTAAAGGGTGAGTTGATAAAAACCACATGAAAAACACATTTTTTACTCTGATCTTGACTTACTTTAAAGGTGGCGTCTCAAAGTCTTCCTCCCAGTAGCTTCTTCCCTCTTCACGGTGCAAATCGATGTCTCTGGTGGAGGCGAAGCTGCGGCCGACTCCTTCACCACCATGGAAATACAGAGCATTGCCCTCCGACTGACAGGCATGCTGCTCAATAAAAACACATGAAATTACATGCTTCAATTTACATCTGGCATCATTATAGTTCATATTTCTCCAAACAATAGATACACACCTCCTGATGACATTTATTATTTATACGTCTTGAGCTTTTTTTTTTTTTTTTTTAAATTTATGCTCAATGCTCATTTATGCGTATCTGAGCGTACCTTGATGGTGGCTCCGGGGAAGAAGAGCCAGTTGGACGTGTCCAGAGGATCCAGGTTGTCCTCTATCAGAGGAACTCTGTGGGCAGAATTCACCAGCAGCACGTTGTCGAGGCCCCAGCAGGACTCGTAGCCTTCAGGCCCGTGGGGCGTCTCCTGAGACCAGCGCAGACGAACGGCTTCTCCTCTGGAGGAATGTGGGAGTGGCAGCAGGTGGACGACGGTGCTGCTGTTAGTGGGAGCTCTGAGAAAGAAGGGGAAAAGACGATTAACTGGCTGATATTTCAGGTAGTTGAAATATTAAATTAAGAAACGCATCATAAACATCATGCTTAATATTTTTTAAAGTGAACCTGTTAAGGAAAATGTATATTTTGCATGTTTTCTCTACAGCTTCTAAAAACAGACCAAATGGTTAAAAAAACACAAGTTGTCTTTTTGGTGTTTGGAAAATGAGTCATTTCAAAAACCATGCCATCCTTCAATCACCTACTGCTAGGTGAGGGCCCCAGCCTGTTACCTAGCAACCACAGTGGAGTTCCACCCATCACCTAGCAACCCAAACTGAGCTCCAACACATTTGGACAGCTAGTTTTACTGCCCTATGTGCTGTACAATGGCTGCTGGAAAAGACAAGTGTTTTGTTTTTGTCTTGCCATCATCCACTCTTGCTGCATTCTTGTTGGCTGTGCAGGAGGCTCCACTTCTGTTTTTCAAAGATGTATGGTTGTATAACTGTGCATCTGTTTGCAGCCATTTTAACATGCAAATGTAAACACTGAGTTGGGGGCGTGGGCAGGAGCAGCTTATTTGGATTTAAAGTGACAGAGGCCCTAAAACATCTCATTCTGAAAGGAGCTCAAAACAGGCAGAACTAAAATCTCATGATTTTGTGTAAAAAATGTAATAAACATGTTTTGTATTGTCCATAGATATATCCTAACCTTTTTAATAGGAGCAGAATATAAAGTAAACCAGACCTGTTAAGACATTTACGAGTTAAAACTGAAACCTCACACCGCATCCTGACTAAACATAATAATTTTACTATGCCTGTTTGAAAGCTGACAAAACACAGAGGCCAAGAGAGAGGGATTAAAAACAGGTGGATCATCAAGACACAAACAGGAGAGAAATGACAAATTAAGAGGGGGAGGTGTGAAGAGGGAAGAGGGAGGGCGGGTGTTTATAACAGATGGAGGGACTGTGTGTGTGATGGATGAGGCGGGAGGAAGGAGACGAGAGAGAAACCGACCTGATCTTTTCCAGTGTGATCCAGTCATCCGAGGTGTTTGCGTTGCCACTTAGGCTGTACAACACCGAGATGCTGGGATCCGAGTAGCTGAACCGACAGGAACCCGAACCTAAACACAGAAAAAGGGCACTCAGGTTGGATAATAATAACAGTAAGAGTTAAATAACATCAAATTAAGCTCCTTATTTGTTGCATCACCTTTTTAGAGCTCATTGCCTTTACTTCATTTAATTTGTATAATGTATGGTTGACTTCTGGTTTTTGATTTGATGCTTTTATTTTGATAAGACTGAATACATTATAGATCGGCAGCTTAGCGACAAAAACTAGTTGCAACAAGATACATTTCTAAAATGCATCTTATTAGCAGCACCCTTGATAGAGGCACAAGGTATGTTCATTTTGTAAATAAGGATGTTTTTAATTTTAATCAATTAAAACTGTTAATCCTTTTATTGTATACAAATACTAGAGTATAGTTTTTTTAAATGTAGTTGATATTTTCAGTGGTAAACGTTTTTAGCTTAGTAAGAGCATGGTTTTGTAGCGTACCCCGTTTTTTTGTTTTGTTTATGTGTACATAAAGCTCTTACGGTGGAACTAAGGGTTTACGTCCAATAAACCTTACTGTTCATCAGTAAAACCTCAATACTTCATTCGCTACAATAATAAAGAACAAGCCTAAAAGACGGATACATTTTCTGATTCGCCAGGCAGCTTGCTGGATTCTCCCACTCTCCCCTCTGGGATAAATTGGGAGGTTAAACTGTAAATGGTGTCATGACTAAAGGAGTCAGTCAGCAGTTTCTGAGGATTTAGAGAAGATGATGTATGATAAGGATGGGGAAGTGAAGGCAGACTGACCGTTGGAAACTCGATCTGAGTGTGTGTGTCTGTGTGTGTCCGTGTGTGTGCGCGCGTGTGCTTCCACCCAGATTTAACTTACACTATTTTTAAATGTGGACCTCTTTGGATGCTATGGGAGTAAATGGGGTCAAAGGCTGCTAATGGACTAGTACAGTAAGTCCCAACGTCCTCACCTGCTCCCCCTCCCTCCGTTAACTCAAGGCTACGTTTAAAATTCATGCAACAACCAGAACTCCACAACAGTTTTTACCTCGCATATCTAGCAAAACAAACCGATTTTCCTGACCTTCAGAGAGCATAGCAGCCTGTCAGACAAGCGGTTGAAGGTGAGGCTTTACCTTCATGTACTTTTATTTTCTCCTTGCCTTCCTCCCTGGAGAACAGGTGGATGGATGTAATGGACATGAAAAATACAACACCTCTAAAACTCTTCCATGGCCTTCTCAGTGTCTTTCCAGAAATTGTAAATCATTCATTACAGATACAGGAGGAGGGAGGCGGGAGCGAGGACAGTAGGACGGCGGAAGAAACGCTGAAATATGGTTTGCACCAGCAGATTTACCGACATGAAACGGCGTAAATGAGCACCGTCTCCCTAAAGCAGACAGAGGTAGTTTCTCCTCATGGACAGATTGTTTCTACACAATTATAAAGGATTCACAAAGTACATATATAAAGTCTATACACCTACTGAAATTTTTGAGATGTAGAAGGAAGATCAAATTATACAATTTAAAAATGTTTGATGTTTAAAATGACAATTCAGATAAAAAAAAACTCCCAACATGTCTGTGAAGAGTAAAGAAACACTTAAAGACGCTTCAATCTCAACAATTTTAACCTTAATCAAGGCTTAATGACTATAAGTTAAAGCTATAATCTGTGGGATAATCTGGAGGTGTGGCCAAAAAATAACTTTGTATTCTGACTAGTAATGCAAATTATCGATTGATGACTGAATCTAAAGGGGATTGCTCTTACCAGTCCACTAACGATTAACTGAGAAGCGGCCATTTTCTTTTTTATCAGCAGGGTTGACCATTTTTCCATAACATGAAGGGCTAAGTTTTTCACATGCTTAATTTGTGGCAGCTGTATTAAATACAGACCGAATAAACAGAAAATTGTGGTTTTCGCAAAATGATTAAACTTCACATATTTTTAAAATATAACAAAACAGTAACTGATTAGGTTGCTAAATAGAAAAATAAAAGATGAAAAAATTAAATACTTGTACCACAGACATGTTAATGTCTTTTCCCACCATGTTACAATTTTTCTCTGTTTTGGACCGTTTATTTCCTGTTCTGGTCTGCCTCTGCCATCTTCTGTATCTGGCTCTGTTTACGTGTGACCAGTGGCGCCCTCTGCTGGACGGCGGCCAAACTACACCACTAAAACAAAGTCTTAGCTAATGATTAGAACTAATTTTTATCTAATTATCTATTGATTGACAATTAAACGTAAGTTGATTAATTGTTTGCATCTCTAATTCTGACCTTTTTCAAAGTAGGCCCGGTGAATATGCAAAGACAACTGATTGACTATATAACAGGTTGAATAAAGTGTTTTAATGATTTATCATGGTGTGATAATTTAAAAAAAAATTTAAACATTGACTGCATGCAGTGTGTTTTTGCAAACACTCACCCAGAGCAAACTGCAGGACTGAGGCTGTGCTGGTGTTGAGAGGTACTGTAGTCTAAGGAGGAAACAGAACAATAATATCTTTATAGCAAAAGAAACAACAAATCTTACAATACCAATAAAATTCCTAAAAATGCACATATTTACTTTTCTATATTTTAAAGGATGAATACTACGGGAAATAAGCTGTCAGTACTTCAATTGGAATTCAATAAATCAGACTTTAGCATGTAATAAATCAGATTTGCTGTGAGCGGTTTTATTAGATCTCATTAAATTTAAAAAGTTTTGTTTACATAATTTAACAATAGTAACCTATGCAATGTTTTCAGCTATAGATTGCTGTAAACTGCTTATTTGTCTTTGCCTAAATGTGTGTGTTGTTTCTGGATTAACATTTTTGTTGCACTCGACAGAAGAGCTGCCAGGGAGCTGCTCAAAAACATCTGGAACAGTGACAGACAAAGCGGCTGTTTATCACAGAAGTAAACAGAATCACAAGGCACTAAACACTTCTCTGCTGTGAAGTGTGAAGCTTTCATCTCTCACAGCAAAACCAACTGAAATCCACAGAGACAGAAAGAGGAAAAGAAAGGACGGAAAAACACTTTTCACTGGGTAAGATATAACTTTGCTTTAATATAGTCAGTGTGATATGCAGTTGTTTAGCTCCAAACGTTTTCACTGCCGGTCCTATTTACTAACCCTTGTTTTAGGCCTTTAAATGCCGAAACCAAATGTCAAAAACAGCATCTTAAGTTAAACGGAATTAGGAAATCCAATGAAACAAACTGATATTAAAATATTTAAAAAATTAAAAAATTGACTTTCATCAACTTATTTTTTATTTTAAACTGATAACCACAGTTTAAACTTTAAACCATAAACCAGGGCAGAGATGTTTCTTTTTAATAGATTTGCTCCTTTTATTTATGGCTTTAAATAGCTAGACAGATCAAATACTTATTTGAATAAAAGCTGGTTTTAATTTTTTTTAGCTTATTCACACTCCTTTTTGGACAAGTACATTGCTAAAATGACTTAAAATGTTTTTTTTTATTGATTTGTTTGAAATAAATGAATAAAATAAATACAAAATGTGATGTTATGTTTGCTTTTCAAATTGAATAAATACCTAATGAATAATTGCACATCTTACTCATTTTCATTCTTATGTGATTGTCTATATTAATAAAAATGTAAAAACTGATACTGAATTAGAGAGTTCAAGGTAAATGCTGCAGCACTAGGACATTTTAATTTTCCAGCTTCTGTTGTCGCAGCTCGCATGTTACGATTTAGAGTGGATGTGGTTGTGCCCACTGGGCGGCTGGCTTGGATCTGTAGTCAATGGGCCATAAAATACGCAGTGGTTGCATTGTGGTCAAACATGGTAGTTACCAGCTCTCGCTCTCCAAAGTGCTCACAGAAAGTGACGGCTCTGCCATGCAACACCACGCCACACTGCTCCCCGACCTCACAGTTACTGCACTCAGACCTGGGAAGAGATCAGGATCAGAAGAGTTCACACAAAGAGGAGAGCTACAAGGTAATCATCTTAGAATGACACAAATTATTAGAGAGAGTGCTTTGCAAAAGTCTTCAAACTCTCTCAACTTTTTCATAGTTGAAATATGCATGATTCCAATTTCTTTTTTCAACAAAAATCTAGTAAAGATTGTGATACATTTATGTATTCCTGAAGCAACTGGCATGACGCCGGTTTTACTTCCTCGTTAGTGGAGGAAACCCAACAAACAAACAGTGCTACAACGGTAGAGGTAATAAAACTCAATGTGCTACCCGAGACATTTTTTTTTTTATCATTTTTGCATTATCAGCCAACACTGAGGCAAAGACGACGGGCAAGAAAATTATCCAACGAGTCCAACATCAAACAACGGAGAAATCAACAATAAAGCCCAAGACAAAAAATGATGAGGGACACAAAGTCTGGTTGGGTTTGAGTGTGAACGCTGCGTCCGCCACATTTTACATGTACAAAACGGGGAGTAATGACTTAAACAATATGAGCTTGAGAAAATCTGCCTTCAGGAAAATGCTTAAAAATGAACAGCAGCATAAAAAGACACTAAAAAAGCACTGCAGTTCCTGCAGCACAAGTTTTCAAGCTGCCATACCGTTGGAATCTACACACACAAAATCAAGCAGAACTATCTTCACTCATTCATCTTTGATTTGAATCGGCGTCATGTCAATTACAGCTGCAAGTGTTTTGAGACATGTCTCAAAGCACTTGCGGTGCACATCCATTTTTTTTAACCATTTTTCTTTCAAAATGCAGAGGGGCGTGGCCAAGACATAAGTAAAGCTGTAACGTTGTAACCAATAGGAACATCTGACTGCAATAGCCATCATTCAACCAACAGGCAGTAGCACTAAAATATGTTTTAGACTAAATATTGGATAATTTAAGAAATTGACATAAAAATGTCACAATTTGCACAGAAACATGACATCACCCTTAATGACCAATTTAAAAAAGAAAGATTTGGAGTTTAATTACTCTTTAAATCTTCTCACAGATTCTTAATTGGATTTACATGTGAAGCTGTGTAAAAATGTAAAGGCGAAGAATAAAAATGCACAACAATTTTGAGATTTTGATAGGTAAAAAAAAAGAACATCATTTCTCATTTGCCTTTTGCAATTATTGGCTACTATGTGTTATCCTTGCACATAAAATCCTATGGTGATACATAAACGATGTTTTTTCAACATGGCAAAATGTGGGAAAGTACATAAATGCATTTGCAAGGTCCTGCTTGTAGTTATCAGGCTCAGTTCACACAGCCACAAATTTCTGGTCTACTCAGATCCTGCCACAAAAAAGCAACTTGATGATCCATAAAAACTGGTACAAATGAGCGAACCTCTGTCAAACTTGGTTGAGTGTTCCCAGAAAACACAAAGGCCCTTCAGGCTGCAAGAGAAACAGAAACTTTTCCACCTACCATATGTTAGAGTCCAACTCTCCTGGGATGTTGGAGTCAAAGTCATCTCGTAGAACAGCATGTTTCGCGTGGAGCTCCACTATAAACATGTAATGCACAACGTGCTCACAGTTAAATCTACTGTCTATGCTGCTTTGTAGAGAGTATCATTGGCAAGATTGAAGTAATGAATGAAATTAATAACATTTAATGCAATTGAAACTCACCAAGATTGGGCCTCAAGGGGGTTTCTGTTGGAGCTAAAACAGAGAACAGGTGTTAGTCAAGTCATGGTAAGTCCACCTAATCCTAACCTTACACTGCAAAAATAGAAAAACATTAGTATTTTTGGTAAAATATTTAGTGCAAATATCTTAACACACTTTAAATAAAACAAAACTAACTTACAAGTAACTTTTCAGCAAGATATAGGTGTCTGTTACAGTAAATAACTCCTTAATATTGATGAAAAAAGTGGTAGATTATGTTACTTATAACATGGGACAAGAAATTGTTCCCAAATAATCTGTCAGAACTAGTAAATATCATCAATACTAGGGAAGTATCGACTTAAAACAAGAACCCATATCTTGCTGAAAAGTTGCTTGCAAGTTAGTTTTGTTTTATTTCAACTGCACCAAGATATTTGCACCAACATTGGACTAAAAATACTTAGTAACATTTGGAGTTTTGCAATGCATAACTTGCAGATAGTTGCTGCCGGTGGACACAAACAAAGCTGAAAAGTGCAGATACAAACACACAGGTTTCCATGCAAAAATGTATCCCACCACCTGTATTTACACAGTTTGCAACTTTAACTGTACTCTTCTGGGATGTGAGAACAGGGAGAAGCGGCCAATCTTCCATCATAACTGAGTAACACAAAGTTTCTCTGTGTTTCCCCAAAGTCTCCTAGCTACTGATGTTAATTCCTTTCAGTAATGAAAGGCCTGGCTGCTATGATTAATAGTTCAATGGCAATTAACCGCCATCCTCCCCAGAGACGGAGGCTGTGATCTGTGGCCGCTGCCCAGCAAACACACTCAGCCATCAATCTCTCCCAGGGGACATGACAGCTCCGAGAGCAGGAAGGAGGTGAATGGGAAGTTGATGAAGAGGCGGGGGCTCTGAGTGGTAGATCTTAATGAATCAACCGTGAGTTTAAAAAATTACTGTAACTCAATTACAAAGAACGCTTTGTAGAAAAAGATTAACTACAACTTAGAGGAAAAGGAAAGTGTTTGCAAGATATTTGTGCTGAAAAATGTAAAGGTTAAAAATTAAGACAGAATATTCTTATATTTTAGAGCAATGTTGTTCAAAGTGGGGGCTGTGGCCCTTTCAGGGGCCACATTGAGGCCTCTAGATGGGCCTCAAAAAGTTGGAGGGATGAATTAAATTAAATTAACCTAACAAATGTTTTAATCATACATTTTTAAGTAGAACTGTATGTTTTCTTAAAATCTAATCAGTTTTTTAGCATTATTAATTTTTGTTTTAATTTTTTTATTTAAACAGGTGGAGCCCCATTAAAAGTCAGATCTTATTTATTTATATCATGATAAGTTTTTCAGTCATACCATCCAGTCCTAAATTTTAATAAAATAATAATTCAAAAAAGAAGAAACTGGGAGCAACAGGAGTTAGACGGATAAAGGATCTGACAAATAGTGAGGAAAAACAGAGTAAGAGATGAAAAGGTGTCGTGGAAACAGGTGAGCAGTAACACTAATGCCTTTAGTAAAAATATCTAAATGGAACATGACTAAACACATGAGAACAAAAAAAAAGATATAACTAAAAAAATGAAACTAAAATCACAACAGTGACTCAGAATATAAGAACAAGAGCAGTGAGATTAACCAGAATAAAACTAAACCAAATCCAGCTGTTTATTATTAATCTGCTGCACAGTTTGCATGTGCAGCTATGAACGGCATGCAAAGGAATCGTCTTTTTGCGCTCCAGCGTTGTGACATACATAAAATTTCTGGATGGAAACTAGAAAATGCAACGGTTCCATAGCTGTTAAAGTTAGTAAATTTGATTTTTGGTTTAAGCCGTTACACGAGTTCTGACCAATTGTATTTATTAATTTAAAAGCTAGTCAGTCTTGCTGAAGTTTTTTCACCGTACTTTAGTTACTGGAATTTAAAGCAGCCTTATTTCAGACTTTATGAAAAGAATAATCTGCCGCAATACTCTCTTCCCTAGATGTCCGTGCTCAGCTAATAAGACACACTCAGATAACAGAGCAAGGATTCATTCCAAACTTTTACTCAGTCCCTTAAGACTCCTTTAAAATTTTAAAGGAAAGCCTACCTAAAGCCCCTTTTAAACAACTGAACCTGAATAAAGTCAGGAGGGATTAAGGAAAATGGTCCTCTCCTTTCATAACGGTCCTGCAAATGTCCTTATTTGAGCTGAAGCTTTACTTTCGTCAGCTGCCCTCATTTCTTATCAATGCAAATGCTTTTAGGATGGATTTATAATTTTTGCAAGGGTGCAAAAGTTTCCATGCTGACTGTGGATGCTAAAGTTTTAGTGGCTTTAGTGACTGGTTCACTGGCAGCTCCTCTGAAACCCGCTCTGCGATAAAACCCAATAAAGGCACATGAAAGAGCCTCTGTTGTTTCTCTCCATCTTTATTCCTCACCCCTCTAATCCAACAGAGTTTGCTGATTCACAATATGTTGACAGGAACCATCGGTCCCAATGTTTCTTGTTCATAACAAGAGTTGTTACTCAGCTGTAAGAAACCCGAAGTGCATAAATTGTTTGATAGTTCTGCTCTCTGTGGCCTTCTTTGGCTCAGTTTTCAACTCTTTCCAGATAGACCATTTGGCTGGAGAATGGCCCAGAAGATTTATTTATTTCTTTTGTGGATAATCCCTTCCAGCTTCCAAAAAGGGCCTCATTTACAGATTTCTTTTCTATGCTTCATCACGTCTCTCTATCACACCCATTCTGCCTTTCTCCGCCTCACCCACAGCAGACAGTGGTGCTCATTTCGCTTGGATTAATCCCCCTCTCACTTTCTTAAAGACTTCAATTACCGCCTCGTCTATTAGCGGCTCATCTCTACTAATGCCTGTATCTTCCTGGCCAGGGCTTAAACATGCAAGTGTGCATGGGGAAAAACATACATTCATAGAAAGCTGAACGAGTTAGGGTTATTTGTGCTGATGCACAAATAATAAAAACCGCTAAATAAACACGAGGGACACCCAAATCAGACGGGTGCTGATGAGGAGGATCGGAGCGCGACAACTGGGGACAACCGAGGATAAGCTGTGGCAGACTCAAACATGTACAAAGAGCACAGGGCACAAGTCATCTTAAGTCTTCTCCCCCTCATTCAACCCTAATCTCTTCCCTCTTCACTTTTCTAGGAGCGCTTTAAACTGCTCTTGCACACTTGCTCTTTCCCTCTTCTGTCTGACTCACATTGTCGAAGACGTGAACTGCATTTGAAGTTGCCTCGCTCTCGTCCAACTGGTGGTTGCAATTACTGAATCACCAGGGTGCAGGATGCAGCTTTTGTTGGCCTACAGCGACTTGAAAGAACAGCTCCCTATGGCCACATTGTAAATACTTTATTCCGCTGAAGAAAAACCAGGCTTTGCCACAGTAATAATTAGGGCTCTGATCTTAAACAGATCTACAGAGGCGACGGCGCTGAAACGTGTCACTTTTACAAGTAATTTAAGAGGTGATGTAGGTCGGTACCATATCACTCCTGTTTTCCTGTCATCTATGTTCATAAACAGAGCAGTTTTGACGACCAAAAGTCAGCCTAATTGTTAACATCAGTTTAAATGAGCATTAAAATTCAAATATTTGAACCCAAATATTCTAAAAATGTATTAAGCATGACTTCAAAGCCGAAGTACAATCAGAGCTGCGATTTTTTTTTTTTTACACCACTGATGTTAAAGGTGACTTTTTATGCTTCTTCGAAAAAGTTTGGATAGATTTATGGTATATTCATACTTTTTTTTTTTTTGACTAAATCATTCTAATATAAGATTTTAGTCTGTTCATCCTTTCAGAATGAGCTGTTTTGTCACTTCAAATCCAAATAAGATGAGCAATTATACAACCATACACCTTTGAAAAGCAAAAGTTGAGTCTCCTGCGCAACCAACAAGAGTGCAGCAAGTGGTTTCTGGATGGTAAGTCAACAACAAAACACTTGACTTTTCAAGCCGCCGTTGTACATATAGCGGTAAAACGAGCTGACCAAACGTGCTGGAGTTTCATTTGCGTTGCTAGGTGACTGACTGGGCTCAGTTGGGGTTGCTAGGTAACGAGCTGGGCTTCTGGGGTTGCTAGGTGATGGGCAGTGCCTGTTGATTTGTGACGATACATTCTTGGTATCTTGGAAAATGGCTCATTTTCCAGATAACAAAAAACATTAACATATTGCAAACTATGGCTTGGTGTTTTTTTTAAGTTCTTCGGCTGTTTTTTTTTTAGAAGCAGTTGAGATCCAAATGGAAGTACACAAACATGCAAATTTTGCATAATACACCCCTTTCAAAAATCCATTTTTTAATGTACAGTACCATCATTTGTGTGAATTTTGATTAAATTTAAGGCAATGTTAAGGAAAAAAGTCCCAAAAAGATAAAGATCAGAAGACAGATTTCAGGCGCGGTTCCTGAAAAAAGCAACATATTGCTGGAGATATTTAGGACTCCAGAGGGGGAGACATTCAGACAACGAAGGTCTTAAGATTTCTTGCTAGTGAGGAATGGCATCCAGCCAGGAGAGCAGGCTGGCTGGCAGACTGGGTGGGTGGGTGGTGAGGAGTGGGAGAGGGTAGGCCACCCGTCCCCTCTCTGTTGCGCTGTGATCAGGCGACCCTCAGGGAGCGGTGGCCTCTTTGAGTTATATGTCCCTTTAATAATCCATCTGGGCCGCAGAACGCTCGACCGGGCCCATAAAGATCTGATTTATGCTCTCATTGGAAATTAGAGGAGCTGGCGATGCTGGGCAGAAAGCTGGGATTGTTGCCCCCACTGTCAGGAGATAGAAGTGATGGACAGCACACGGCGCAATTCAACACGTCCAAAGGCTCCACCCTTTACCCCAACTGTAAGCCATATTTCCTGATCCACTTGGCTAGTCCCATCTAGACTTGGTTTTTACACTGAATTTATGTTTTTCAAATTAAATAGCAAAGAAGAAACTTTTACTAACTCATAATAATTTGAAACTGTATTTTATTTTACAAACAACTTAACCCAAAGATGAATGGATGCATTATTATAACTGGTTTTGTTTTCTAATTTGCTAATCGTACCCTATTTAAGTTATTGTGCAAAAATCTAGGCCAATAATTACAAAGCTACTAGACACTACCAATATAACAAAAAAGCAATGAGGATAATCCATAAGACATGATACTTAGAAAGCACTAAAAAACTATTTGTAAAATCCAAATGAATAAAGTTCATAGTGACATTACAGACAGCGCACATTCTTCACAATGTTTTCACTGTAAAACATTCAAAATTTGTACACAAAAACTTCACCGGTTGCCACAATCGACTGTAGCCACACAGGCACACCCAGTAGAAGGAAACAAACGCACCCAGTTTAACACTTGCATTCTATTGGCTGAGGGGTCGCCAGGCAACGGTGCTTTCTGTTCTAAGCCCAACAGAAAATGATTCACAAGCGAGCAGGAAAGTTTGCAAGCGGAGATTTGACCCAAGAAGAGACAAGTTTTGAGCGTGAGGAGAAAAGTTTGGGAAAGCACAGTGAATATTTGAAAGAGAACAGACATTTTGAGTACAAGTATTAAAAGTTTTGAGAAGAAAGACATGAAGTCCTGCTTTCAAACTGAAAATGTAAGCACAAGTATTAAAGGTTTGAGGAAAAAAAGATATGAAATTCTGCTTTCAAATGTGTGCTCTCGAATTATGGCAGAAAATTCCCCTGTATAAAGTACCTCAAATTTTACTCAAGAGTAGAACTATGCTTATACCGTGATACGTTTTTCAGTCATATCATCTGAAAAGTGATATGACTATTTTTTGGTTAACTATTAAAAACGGATTTAGTGTTGGATGTATGGATTATACATGTAATAAATGTAAGATTATGCAGGTGGTTACTCCCTCTGACTCACTTTAATTTGTAAAAGAAAAGTTTTGACATTATGCTTGATGGAAAAACAAACAAAACCATAGTACGGCAATATCAGGGTGAGTTATTAGAGTGCAAATCCAAGCAACCCAAACTAGAAGGGATGCTGGAGGAAGATATTGCTGGCAGACTGAAGGGAAGAGGTGAAGAAGTGTGCTGGCACAGCAGAAAGGAGCAAAGGGGGGGAGCCGCACGTGTGGTACCAGGCAGGCATCCCCCAAAACTGCTGCAGATTATTTTACACACACACACACAAATCCAGCCCCCTGCTCATATCTTCGAAGGCTTTCGGGGGCTTTATGTTGCTGAGAAGCAAAATGTTGCAGGTCACTTGATCCAACATTAGTTGAGGTATTACAGTAAATCTGATTTTATCCATAAATTAGGATTTTTGGATTCATCCTTGTCAGAGTTTAGCCTCTTTGCTAATCTACCCATTTGTTCCTTACTTGTTTTTGATCAGTCTCAATTGCTTGCCCTCTCCTTCCATGTCTCAATCCTTTGTGCTCCTTATTCAACTTTCACTCGCTCTCCTCCATGGATCATAACCGAGATTTACATAACTCCCATTTCTAAAAGCTTGAGTTTTAAGTATTTAAACTTCTCAAATAGCTTGAAACCTCATATCTTTTGGTTAAAATTTAAAGCCAATTCTGAAATTTGTCTACTTACTGCATAACGGCAGATTTTATGAATCTGATAAAGCAGGAAAAAAAAATGTTTCATGTGTCACTGACTGGCAAATGAGCCTTTAGACAATTTATGAAAAGTTTACTGTTTTTCAATCTCACTATGTTTAGCGTGCGTCTTTGCACAGTTATAGTGCAACATCAAAAGTTTGACAATGCAAAAGCATAAATATAATATTCACTAATTATTAGTATTATTAGGATTTTAAGTGAAAGACCAACACAGGATACCACAAACACTTAAAATAAAGGGCAAGAAAAAAGCAGTTTAAGATTTTGGGGTATTTTTGGTACAAATCCAATTCTGTGAAGGTCTCACAGGTTTGTTAGAGAACATTAATGAATAAATTTCATTACAAAGAAGGAAGTTTGAACCAGGTTGTAGGTTAAAAGATAAAATTCCAAGTACTGAGCATCTCACATAGAACTGCACAAGTTATAATCCAAAGATGAAAGATGCATGGAAAACAACTGCAAACCTAACAAAATGTGTCCGGTCACCTAAACTGATGCAACAATAATAATCAAAGCAGCATCTTACAGGCCCTTGATAACTCTGGAGGAACTCCAGAAATCCACAGCTCAGGAGGGACAATCTGCTGACTGGAGAGATATTAGTTCTCTTCTCAAATTCGTTAGCTTAAAAGTCCTAACATTTTGAATAGAAAGCAACTGGTTTTCTTCTCTCGTTTCCTGAAGGTGTCTTACCTTTTATCCAAAAAGATACTTTAAAACTTAGTAACTGTGGTGTTGCCTTCATTCTTTCATGCATGTTTGAGAAATCCTTTCATCTCCATGGCAACCATTAAGCTGTGCAAAAAACCTGGGGGGACAAAGCTCCGCCTTCGAGGCGCAACTCCTCCTCACAGCTGCAGTTTCAGAGCTTCCGCCTCACAGAGCAGCCCTGCCCCACTCAGCTCCTTCAGACTAGCCAGCAGCAATTAGCAAACACCTGGTGGAACTGTGAATCTGCTGAGCTCATTGTAGGAGCTACTTCTCAGTTCAATGCTGGTAAAAACATTGTTAGAGGGTTAATAGAGGAGTGATGTTGGGATAACTTCCTGAAAGCAGTTTCAGAAAGAACAGGAGTTTTTAAAGCAATAGAGGCCTAATTTCAAGGCGTTATAATACATAGTAAAATTTATTTTAATCCTTTAAGGCCTAAGTTTCAAACCTGTGAAAATGTGTCGTCGCCAAATGATTAGGCCATGTTTGATATATTTAGCATTTTTATAGTAACTGAAGTTAACAGCTACTTGGTTGTGCTACAAAATGTCACTAAAATACATAATTCTGCCCCTTCAAGATGAGTACAAACAACAAATTCATGAGAATTAGCCTATGTTCACTTGAACTCTTTTATTAAAATGAGTGCTTTGATTCAGTTCTGTAATTGACAGTCTCCAGTCTTCAGATTGATACCTTCCTGTTTGGATCACTTATCGCTGTCACCACTTTGATCCGAGCTCACTCTGTTCTCATCCTATCCGTGTATTACATTACCGCACTGTCCGCTTTACAAGTCGTCCCCTCCAAGGTCTTGTGAGGACTAAATATCTGCTTTCCAGCTTGTCTGTTGCCAGCGGCTGTGTGTTAGTGTTGATACTTTGGGGCCTTGGCACTTTACAGCTAAGTGACTGTTGTTGGCTGCAGATATTTCATGTGCAGGGAGGGTAGACTGGGGCAGTGTGTCAGGGGTGGTGAGAGGATGAGCTCTCCGGCAAGGAGACAAAGGAGAAAAGCCTTCTCGCTTTTCCGTCTCTCTGTTGATCATCCATGGCTAACTGAGCTCTGAGCTCCAGCTCTTCCAAATGACACATTTAAGCACTTAATGCCCAGCTAGTTTTATTCTAGAGGGTTTCTGATGACCTACTGAAGAATATATGTTCTAACTTTAGTTGTCTTTTCCTAATTAAGTTTCTATGCAGTGCAAATAAACATAAAAAGTAAGTATTTATTTACTAAAAGCCACTTTTTGGCTGCTACAACTAGAAAAAGAGCAGCAGCATTTGGACTCTGTCTTCGTTTGGCATTAAAGATAAATTTTGATCTACAAGCGGGGAGTTCTTAAGTGAGGAGGAGGGAGGCATCTTGCCTGTAAACAAGCAATTATACACACTCAGCATGCAGAGTGGGACTGCACTGTCTGTCAATAGCTACTTAGGACTGTCACAGAAAGTGGATGTAAGAAGTCTTGGCAATACAGTGTAAATCTCTGACAGAGAAGGAGCAAAAAGGAGTGGGGGAAAAAGCTGAGTTTAGCATAAGCTGAAATTAAGCTGGCAATATAGGGCATCCGAAACTCTCTAACTCTGGCTGCATCATTAAGCAGAAAGAAAGCCAGGAAGTGCTGCAAAGGCACAGTCCTGAACATCAGCTGCTCTGACATCCGAATCCTGACTCTACACTCGTACACACAACGGGAACTGACAGAAGGTGAGACCATGCAGCATTTGTTGGTGCACATGTTTGTGTTTCTGCACAGATGTGAATATATTACCCCTACGAGTGTCTCATGATGCCTGTGTCATGCCACGGAGAGGAATAGAGGAACGTCGCTGTGTTGTCCTTGTTACTTACCTCCTTGCTCACAGAGCTGCTGGGCCAGCGCATCCTTAAAAATGATCTGTCCTCGATGCGTTGCTGTGGCTCTGGGAAGAAGAAGGGGAAACGAAGGAGAGGAAGATCATTAAAATAAACACCACCACGGGGAAAGTTAACTGGTTGTCCTTATTATACCGTCTGAACATCGATCTAGCACAGATGGCATCATTTTCTGCTTTACCAAAATGCATTTCACTGTTCTACATGAAAGAAGGCTTTTTATGAAACCATTATGATCCGACTTTGAGATCAAAGCAAGAAACTTCTTCACAAAGTCAAAATTTCTATTTTAACAAGCCGAGACTAAATCAGATATGGAAAGTAGTGGAGTGTGTTACCTTATGGATGCTCAATGGGATCTGATGGCTGCTTCTAATAAAGTTTTAACATCAGTTTATAATGTTAGGCAGGGATACAAGTTATTGATTAATCTAAAGTTGATTAATCTTATCGATCAACTAGTGATTAATTTGTTTCTTTTGTATCTAGACTTTCCTGTCAATATACAGATTTTTTAGTTTTAAAAAAGCACAGCATTACATTTTAACATTATTTTGTCAGGTGACCTAAAGGTGACCTATTATGCTTCCTTGTAGCTGTGTGCTACACATAATATATTCATTAAAATTTTTTTTGCACAAAATCATTCTTAAATAATGAGATTTTAGTCTGATCAGTTCTGCCTATTTTTTTTTTTTTAGCTGTTTTAGGCCGTCTTGTCACCTCCCTCCATGTCAATGTTTAACAGATGTGCAACTATACATCCGTATGTCTTTGAAAAGCAGAAGTAGAGCCTCCTGCACAACCAACAACAATGCAGCAAGTGGATTCTGGACAGTAAGTCAACAACAAAAGACACTTGTCTTTTCCAGCAGCCATTGTACAGCGCATATAGTGGTAGAACTGGATGTTGTGAAAGCTCAGCTTGAGTTGCTAGGTAGGTTTTTGAAAGGTCTCATTTTCCAGACACCAAAAAACATTAATTTATTGCCAAAAAACAGCTGGGTGATTTTTTTTTTAAATGCTTGGGGTGTTTTTAGAAGCACTAGAAAGCCAAATGGATGTACAAAAACATACAAAATGTGAATTTTGCCTGAAAGGTCCCCTTTAATAAACGTAATAAAAACTCAAAAAACCGTCATATTGTGGCATTTGTGTGTAGAATTTTGAGGAAAGAGATTAATTTCATATAATTTGGAAAAAAGCTGTAACATAAGAAAATGTAGAGACGCAGTGAATACTTTTTGGATGCACTGCATTTGTATCTCACAGAAAAATTCAGTTCAGAAATATCAGAATAAAAACCTGAGAATAATAGATTTAGGTGGATTGCAAAAACTACATTACCCTACTTTTAAAACATTTTTCTAACACAAAAGGCTGCGGGAAAATGCCTGCAGTGGGGCTGAGGTCAAAAACATAAAGAGGAGCAACACAACAGCTGTGACGCGTTTCTCCCAGACTATGTGCATGCTCTGCGCTCATCCATCAAGGGGAGTGTAGAGCAGTTGTATCATCTGGCACACAGACAAGCATTTTTCACATGTTGCAATTAGGGTTAAACATTAAATATTAAAATAATCTGTGGCTAATAAATCTGACCAACCTCCCAGTAATGAGCAAACAAACACACAACTACAGTATGTGTGCCACCCACAAAGAGACTGAAGAGCTCTTTAAGGGTGGCTACTGTCTCTAAATGCACAAACATTACACACATTTTTAAGATACTCAGTCTGTGGTATCAGCACAAATGAACATCAAACAGCACAGATGCTAATGTAGAGATTAGCAGAGATTAGTCTTTGATCGTAGGAGGTCCGGCATCTATATGGGTATTTATTTCCCTTTCAGGTTGTGACTCTAAATGTGTTGTAATTTAATTTGATGCGTTTAGATCAGCTCATCAAGGTGTACCGTTGTTTCTCAATTTTAGTTTGAAAAACTGAACATTTGTGGGATTTTGGCAATGAAATTGAAGTAATGTGCATAGGATGCTTTCTTAAAATGAAAAGAAACACAGCTCTCAAGTCTTTTTGCATAGAGAAACATTTTTTCAATAGATCAACAACTTAAAAGGTTGAAGGGGGTCTATTATGCAAAATTTCACGTTTCACACATTTTTGTTCTTTCATTTGGGTTTCTACTGCTTCTAAAAACACCCAGTTGTTTTTTGGTAACATGTTAATATTTTATGGTGTCTGGAAAATGAGCCATTTCAAAAACCTCCAGGATGTAATGTTACACTGCCTTTAACCCAGCAACCCCAGAAGTGTGTCACCCATTACCTAGCAACCCCAGCAGAGCTCCAGCACCTTTGGTCAGCTGCTTTTACCGCTGTATGCGCTGTACAATGGCTGTTGGAAAATACTATGTTTCTTTGCTGACTTACAACACGGTCACATTTAGAGGAACAGGTGTTTTTAGTGGCTTCAATGTAGCTCTTCCTACAAAAAAGTTCTTAACCTTTTGTTTATGAAACATGTTTTTTGAGTGCAATACATTTAAAGAAAAACCTTATTATAACTGTTCCATTTTTATCTATTTACTGTCAAAATATGTGTTTCATTTGCAGCAACCTTTTCTCTGAAAAAGTTAAGTATAACGTTTTGAATCAATGAGTTTTATGGTGTGAGGTGCTAAACTTTACTGACTGGCTTAATATCTAGGTTTACATTTCTGTGATCTTTCAAAATCTGTGTAGTTGGAGGAGAGTAAAAGTGGTAATAGTATAATACTTTATACTATTACACTTGTAATAGTTCTGATTACAAGTGAAGTACAAATAATTGGTTAAGTTTGGAGGACACCAGACAACTGTGCCCCTTTAAGATAGATTGAAAGTTGCATCTTTCCATAAAAAGGAGTGACTTTGCATAATTGCTGTGGCAGAATCCTCCGTTGTGAAGTTATTGCCAATTTATTTTCAGCACGGCAGTCTCTCTCTCTTAAAAGTGACACTCTCAGCTTCAGTGGGCACAATTTACGTAAACAGACTAGTTTTTGACCTACAGTGGATTTACAAACAACAAATGGCCAAAGTACGATGACAGATTTGGGTGGAAATGTGAGGCTGCAAAATTTGTATCAACTCTTTTTGAGCGCATATGCTTAGCCAAGTGGGTGTAAACGATATACCACCAGCTTCCTTAGTCCTCATTCATCTTCCCTCTTTTTCTGTCTCAACCCACATGAATCCGGTCTCATCTTCCAAACTCTACCCACCCTGCCGACTCATGCCTTTTTACGGGTGCCGAGGCATTTACACATTCGTCTCATCCTATAAATAATGAATGGACTGCTCATTAATTGATAAAGACCTCTTGTGCCCGAGCATAGCTGGGGAGAAAACATACTTAATTACACTCATATTTCAGAATTGGTGAAAACTAATTTAAGGTTTGGTATTTATGAATAAAAGATGATGCGTAATGAACAGCGGGTGGGGATGTAGGAACAAGGCCCTTAAATATTTAGTAAACAGCTCAAGCTCACTTAGCGGATTTTGCTTGGTAGCCAGGAAGGAGACATCCTCTTTGGAAAGCACACTTCCTACACAGTTTAGCACTAAACCTCAACTTAACAGTAAAGCATTGTTTTGCAAAGAGTGAAAATAAAAAACAAATTGGAGAGAAAGAGTCTGTTGCTTAATTTAGACTATTTGAGAGCAGGAGTGGTTCTCTGAGAGCGTGTTTATGATTAAAACAGAAGCCGGGAGAGAGCAGTTAGTCTAAGCCGAAGCGTGTTTGATCTGAGCAGCATGACCCCAGTGTCTGTCTGCCGTCACCCACCAGTGGCTCCTCAGCATGCGTCTCTCATTAGTCCATCCACTCTCTGGAACCCACACAAACATAAAAAGAGCAGCTAAATGTTAATTTTATTCGTTTTTTTCCTTAGTTCAGTGGGTGGGGTAATTAGGGGCTGTAATATGTGCTGGGTTTTTTCCGCTCTTTTCTTCTTTTTGGATTCAAACTGGAGTTAATTTCATGAAAATAAATCTCTGGAAAAAAGTAGAGGCCACTTAAAATGATCAGTTTCTCTGATTTTACTTTTTATAGGCATATATTTGAGTAAAATGAACATATTGTTCTTTTATTGTATGAACTACTGACAACATGTCTCTGAACTTCCAAGCAAAATTTTGTATTTACTAGCAGAAAATGAGAAATGGTCAAAATAATGAAAAAGATGCAAATAATGCAAAGAAAACAAGTTCCTATTAATTTAGAAACAACAATGTTTTAACTCAGGAAGAGTTCAGAAATCAATATTTGGTGGAATAACCAGGAGGTTTTCAATGGGGTTTTATAGCAGTGGGCTCTTAGTTTTTTCCAGAGCTGTATAAGTTGCCCATGCCCTGTTTGTCAAAATGTTGAATTGGAAATAAACAAAACACTCATAATTATGGGGAAATTTCAGAGAGAACAGAGAGTGGATAGGAAGAGAAGGCAGCAGGGTTTGGATTTGGTCAGAGGGAAAAAATGATTTAAGGGGGAAGGGTTGATGGCCTTGTCAGTCAAATACCACAATCTGCTGTCAAGTGGCGAGGCGAGCCAGTAAAAGCAAAGCAGACACACACACGGACTCTCTAAGCTATATAGGAGCGGCGGTAACATGTATGCAGATGGACAGGCTGTCACACTCAGAGCTCCCCAAAGGGCTGGGAGTGGGTAATTACCATCCATGTCATCCATGTTAGATTACATGTTGCTGTTGGCCGTAAGTATCCCCCGGAAACCGGCTTGACAGCTCCCTGCTAACCACACGCACAAATTATATAGACTGCTGATTTACCCTGAGCCGCAAATACATGTTAAATAAACTGCTGCTTAAAAGAAAGAATAAATGAATAAATTATATGTACCACAAAAGCAAACAAGGCCAGTAATTTTCTCTACTCTAAAATTTTACTTGCATCAGGGCCTGCAAATGATAAATTGGTTTAATTGTGATTGATTAATTTAGTAATTGATTAATCTCAACCAGGAGTTGAGGAGGAATTTACTGAAACAACACCACACTGAGCAGTAATTAAGTAAAAACTGTA